ACCTTGAGACCATTTGTGAAGTGAAATAAATCAGACACACATATTCAAATATCACATGATTTCTCTGGTGTGAGAAATTGCAAGTGTAAATAAAGACCAGAATGTATAATAGATATTGTGAAATAGGAAGAAAATATTCAAATGGAAAGAGAAAGAAGGGAGGAGGAGGGAGGCAGAAAGAGAGGGAATAGGGAAAAAGAGAATAGAAGGAAAAAATGGAAACAAAGCTTTTGTAAGTAAGGTGGGGAAGAGGGGTTGAAAGGAGGAGAGGGAATTGGGGAAAAGAAAAGGAGAAGCAAGATGTATCACGTACAGGTACAAATTCCATATGATGAATGTTATCAATATGTTATCATGTTCTAAGTGTTTAGATGTTATCAATATCTAAAATGTACCAATAAAATTAATTTTAAAAAACAAATAAAAATAGGAGAGAATGACAAAAGATGTACTCAAAGAGAATTTCCCTAAATAAAGGAAGAATGCTTTCTTACTATTAATCAATGATTGAAAAAAGCATATTGTATTTCAGGAAATTTTGATAAAAATCATGTGACACAAAAATTATACAGTATTAAGGAATATCCTAGTTAGTTCAGTGGTTGAACTTCAAGAATAAAATAATGAAAAAACTTTTCAGTTATCTAGGCAGGTAACATAAACCATATTTAAAGGTAGTAAAAATCTGGCTAGCCTCAGACTTTCCAAAATTCTATTTAACTCAAAACCATAATGGGGCAATGCCTACAAAATTCTGAGCAAATGAAAGTGTGACCCAACAATACTAGACAATACATCATTAAGCACAAGTTCAAAACAGACATTTTCAAGCATAAAGAATTATAAGAATACAACATCCACGATGAGACTTTCAAAACAACAAAAATAGCAACAACTGTTTAAAGAATTTAGGAATAGAAAAGCCACATAAAAGGATTGAGGATAAACACTGATCCATTTAAATATTATTATCAATACCAAACAATTTTTGAGAAGATTGTTTACAGAAAGACGATTAATGGGAAAAATTTGAGTAAGGCAAATAATAATAATATAATTAACAAAACTCAAAAGCTGGAGAGGGCCGGGATTTAGCTCAGTGGTTCCAGTGCCTGCCTCACAAATGCAAGGTCCCTAGCTCCATCCCCGGGACCGGAAAAAAAAAAAAAAAAAGCTGGAGATACGAGTTCCAAGGAAATGTAAGATCTCAAATGCCTTTATCTCTCATAGGCGGGAGTCGAGACCTACTGTTCAAATTGAAATGCATATCTTAAAATCTCTAATTTAAGAGAGGGTTTAAATATACATATTTCAGAGCCATGGGTTCCCACTAGTAATGTTGGGGGCTGCAATTTCTCCACCTCCTTGTCAATATTTATTACTTTGTTGCTTGTCTGTCTTTTTCATTTTTTTTTCTTCTTTTTTTTGATACCGGGCATCGAATTCAGGACGTTGCACATGCAAGGCAGGCATGATGCCACTGAGCTAAATCTCCGACCCCTGTCTGTCTTTTTCATTGTAGCTGTCTCAATGGTATGAAACACTATTATGGCTTTGATTTGCATTTCCTTGATGGCTAATGGTGTTATACTGTATATCTTTTCCTGTTTGTTTTTCTTTTTGCCTATTTGTGTATAGTTTTTGGAGAAATGTCTATTCAAATCCTATGTCCAGTGGGGGGTTACAACTTTATTGAGATATGATTTACATGTAACATAATTCACTGTTATAGTTCCATATATTCATAGAGTTGTGCCATCACCACCTCTAATTCCAGAATATTTTCATACCACACACACACAAAAACCCATATCCTTTAGTTGTCAACTTCTAATTTTCCTCTTTTTCTCAACCGTAGGCCCTTACTATCTTTCTGGGAACTTCATATAAATGGAATCATAGGATATGTGGTCTTTTTTGACTGGCTTCTTTCATTGAACATAATATTTTCAAGGTTTATCCATGTTTTACCATGTATTAGTCTTTCACCTATTTTATTTGCTGAATAATATTCCATCCTCTCAATGTGTTAAATTTATTTATCTATCCATCAGCTGATGGACATATAGGTTGTTTTTAACCTTTGGCTATTTTTAATTATGCTGCTATGAACATTAGTGTACAAGTAGACATATAGTCTGATTTCTTGTGGCTATATAGCTAAGAAAGGAATTTCTGGGTCAAATGGTATCTCTATGATTAACTTTATTCAGTGTTTTTAATGTCTTGTCAGGAAATACTAGACAGTTTCCAAAGCATCTAAACTATTTATAATGTCCACCAGCAGTGAATGAGGGCTCCAATATCTCTACATCCTGACTAGTACTTATTGTGCGTCTTTTGTTAAAGCCATGGGTGTGAAGTGGTATTTCACTCTGTGGGGGTGTGTGTGTGTGTGTGTGTGTGTGTGTGTTACTGGCTATTGGACCCAGGGCCTTAACAAGGAGACTTAGTTTAATGGCTGCCCTGTTTTGTATCTCCCTCCCCCCACCTCCTCAGGCTGAGGTCACATCTAGGCTGTCCTATCAAAACTCTGCATGATCTTAGGCCAGAAGAATTGAAGATAGCATTTTCTGATTGGTTGCAGGTTCAGGGCTTTGGGAACTGTTTTTCTGGGCCTGTGTCCTGGATCTCTGTGATTGACAGTTCACACCCACTTGCTCAGCCCCTTTGTCACACTCTAATCTTCTGCCTCACTGTCATTCTTTTTAAATTATTATTATTAAATTATTTTATTGGTACATTGTAGGTATACAACACAATTACATTTCTCATTGGGAATTGTACCTTTACATAACGCATCTTGGTTCTTATTTTTTCCCCCATTCCTAGCCCTCCCTTCACGCCCTCCACCCTTCCCTATTTACAAAGACTTTATTTCCATCTTTTCCATTTCTCAGCATTTTTTCCTTTCCCTTCTTTCCTTTCCCCTGCCCCTCCCACTACCCCTACCCCTTTGGACCTTTTCTTCCTATTTTGCATTATCCATTATTCATTCTAATCATTGGTACATTTTAGGTATACAATATAATAACATTCATCATTGGAAATTTGCACGTTTACATAGTCTCTCTTGGTTCTTATTTTTCACCCTTGCCCAGCCCTCCCTTCAAGCCCTCCGTTCCTCCCTATTTACAAAGATTTTGTTCCTATTTTTCCATTTTCTCATATTAGTCCCATTCCCTTCTATCCTTTCCCCTAGCCCTCCCACTTCCTTCCCCTTTGCCCCTTTTCTTCCTATTTCACATTACCTATTATACATTTTAGTCCTTATTTACACTTTCAGTTTCTCACACCAGAGAAACTATTTGGTATTTACACATGTGTGTCCTATTTATTTCACTTAAGAGTATTGCCTCAATGTGCATCCACTTAGCTATAAATGTCTCTAATTTCTCATTTTTTATGGCTGAGTAGTACTCCATTTTATTAAAAAACCACATTTTCTTGATCCAGTTTCCAGTTGATGGGCATTTGGGCTGCTTCCAAGCTTTAGCTATTCCAAACTGTGCTGCTATGAACATGGGTGCACATATATCACTGTGGTATGATTCTTTTAATTCTTTGGGGAAGATCCCCAGCACTCACTGTCATTCTTGATTTCCTGATTTCTGAATTTAAATGTGTATATGTGTAATTTTTTTCTTAGTTAACTATCCACTATCCTACCTATCAGACAAGAAATAGTCTTAAGAAAATCATTTGCAGCAAAACCCGATTATTACCACAGATGTTCTTACAAATGTGCAGACTCCCAGCAGTTTCTTGGCTCCTCTGTGCAGCAAACAATCACCATGGACACTTTCCTGCTGCCTGTTTCCCCTTCACCCCCACCGTCATGCCCAATTTTAACTTTTTGCTCTATAGGAAGAGAAAAATATATCAAAGTATTTTAAAAGTACATTAAGTATTTATATTGTCATTGTTGTCTTTTGAGTGTGATCACAGAGACCTGGGGAGAAGCTCCAAATTTTATCCAAGTATATGAGGGTATTATTGGGGCTTTAGGGACACTTTGGTAGCAAACACTGACTTCTTCACTCTTTTACACTTAATTTCTGCTGTTTTTATGTTCTAATATATTGACTGTAAATAGCCACTAACAGATTAATAAAATTGACTATATTAAAAGTTAAATAACATCTCACGGGTGCCTCCTGTGATTATATGTAAATAGTTTTATAGATATGTTTTTATTTCTTTATTTTTAATACACACTTGTCTCAGAAACATGAGGAAATAACTCCGTGTGCCCTTTATTACATAATAGAGCGTATGGACTGAAACTGAGTCGCAGCAGAGAGGGTAGATGAAGAGAGACTAATCCAGAAAGGCAAGGAAAGGGCTTTGTCTGGTGTGTTTTTATCCTGCTCCACGGGAGTTAATTACCCATGGTGGGGGAGTCATAATGGTTCTGTGATGCTAGGAGTTGCGTCCTAACAAGATTCCATGGGTAGCAACATGAAAGTCGAAGACAGCCGGGCTGGAGGAGATTGAAGAGACAGGACAGGGGTGTAGCTACTGGCCGTGGAAGAAGGAAAAAGGGAGGGGCTGGGGATCACATCAGCTCTCTGGTTTGGCTGGCTGGGTGAATGGCGGTGTGATATAGGAAAAGATTTAGGGACAAGACAGACCTTCTCTTTTGGACAAGGTGATACTGGGGTACCAAGGGATATTCGGGTGCGGTTGTCCAGTAGTCAGTGGTTAGGTGGGCCTGGGGCTGGAGCGAGAGGCCGAAGTTCCATAGAGGGGTCCTCGGGCGGAGGGGGACATGGGGGGAGAAGGGGCAATAGGAGAGACCCAGCCCTGGGCCCAGAACTCGGGACACCAATTTTCAGGGCAAAATGGGGTAATGTTAACAGGGTATCTGTATTGCTGCTGATAACAAAGCTAGTCTTTGGAGAGAGACAGCTTGTTATCATCATCAGAACGCCCAGGTTCCGAATCCCTCCACGACCGTGTAATTCCCAGCGCGGCCACCAGGTGGGGCCCGACCCCGTTCCTCATGACCCCGGAAGCACTTCCTTCGATTTCTCCTTAGTAGCCATGGCGGCGGCGGCGGCCAGAGTGGTCCTGCTGCCGGCGGCGAGACGGCGCCTGTGCGGTTTGGTGGAAAGGCAACGGGGCCCCGGCGCATCCGGGCGGGTGAGCTCCCCCCAAGGCCTCTGCGCGGTGAGTTGGCGGCCTCGCCCCCGGAGTGGGGTGCGGGGATCCTGGTCGCTGGCCCTGTTCCCCTGTGCTGGGATCCACTGAAACCCTACTTGCAAATTAGGCAGACTTCTTTTTCCGGTACTGAGGGTTGAACCCGGGACCTTTGCACTGAGCCACACGCCCAGCCCGTTTTACTTCTCGTTTTGAGACTCAGTGGCACCAAGTAGCCCTGGCTGGGATCGAGCTTGCGATCCTGCCTCAGCCTCCCTGAGTGCTGGGATTACAGGCATGTGCCACCGTGCTCGTCTTTGCGGGGAAAACTACAAAGAAATGGTCGCCTCTGTTTCTGCCTAAAACTGAGCTTCTTCCTCCCCTGGGCTTCTCATGAACCTCGGTGTGACAGCTCAAGTAAAACTTGGTATTTTCATTTTTCTCACGAGAGCTTCCAGCTTTCTGTAAAGACATAAAGGACTGACTGTCTCCCTCTCCCTCTTCTCTCTAAACAGATACCTGCTGAAGATTTAGTAGTCCATAGCAAACCAGGCCGCCAAAGTTGTTTTTTTTTTTTTGGTACTGGGGATCGAACTCGGGTCCTTGCGCTTGCGCAACAGGCGGCGAACCCACTGAGCTAAATCCCTGGCCCTACCAAGGCTGTATGTGTAAGCTCTGCCCTTCTCCTTACGGTCTCTTTACCCGCCCTTTAAAAACCTACTGCTTTCCTCCGACACTGACCACCCACGGCTCATTTCTGTGTTGTGTGTAGGTTTTTCCTCTCCTTTTCTTGACCCCCTTTCCCTGCTTGTTTTCAGCATAATGAATATGAGCCATATCCAGATAGGTATTGAAATGAAGTCGTTTCTCTGTGGGTAGTGGTTACAGTATAAACTGTTGGTTTTCCTTAAGGGAAGGGCCTGTTTGTAATCATGTCGCTGGCTTAGGAAGGTGGTTGGTGAAGGAGGATATCTAGGCCAGTCAGAGGTGGATCTCAGTGGAACCAGAGTTGAGGAGGATTTTATTTATTGCAGTGCTGGGAACTGAACCCAGAGCCTTATACTTCAAGTGCTCTACCACTGAGCTGTACAAGAAAGAGTATAGAGTGTGAGGTAGATTTGATTTTCTGATTGATATTTATTTTTTATTCATTTAGTTTTAAAAAATTCTTTTATTGGTACATTGTAGGTATACAACACAATTATATTTCTCATTGGGAGTTGTACCTTTACATGATGCATCTTGGTTGTTATTTTTTCCCCATTCCCTGCCCTCCCTTCACCCTCTCCCCTCTTCCCTATTTACAAAGACTTTATTTCCATTTTTCCATTTCTCATCATTTTTCCTTTCCCTTCTTTCCTTTCCCCTGCCCCTCCCACTTCCCCTACCCCTTTGGACCTTTTCTTCCTATTTTGCATTATCCATTATTCAGTCTAATCATTGGTACATTTTAGGTATACAATATAACGACATTCATCATTGGAAATTTGCACCTTTACATAGTCTCTCTTGGTTCTTATTTTTCCCCCTTCCCCTGGCCTCCCTTCAACCCCTCCACCCCTCCCTATTTACAAAGACTTTGTTTCCAATTTTTCATTTTCTCATATTAATTCCATTCCCCTCTTTCCTTTCCTCCCCTATCCCTCCCACTTCCCCCTCCCCTTTGCCCCTTTTCTTCCTATTTCACATTATTCTGATTGATATTTAATACCGGAATAGTAATATGGTTTTATTTCCCCTTCCTCCTCCTGCCCAACCAGCCATTGTATTTTGGAGGTAACAGATTGAGAAGTACCCAGGTAGCTGCACAGGTTGTTCTGAATGTTCCTGAAACGCAAGTGACATGTTTGGAAAATGGACTCAGAGTGGCCTCTGAAGACTCTGGGCTGTCAACGTGCACAGTAAGTGACTCAGGCAGCCGTGAGTGCCGCCTCTTCGGGGAGAGAGCCAACTGTTGATTCTTTGGCAGTGCTGGGGGGGTACCCAGGGCCTGTGCATGCTGGGCAAGCGCTCTTCACAGAGCCACACCGGCCCCAGCACTGGATGTCGACCTTGACCTCTTCAGTCGGCTGGTGGTTGTTTTGCGTTGACAAGTTTATCTGAGCTATCGAGTTACACTTCCATCCCAGGGCCCTGTGTGTGCTGTGTCACTGTCTCTATCTGTTCCTTGTAGAACAGCGTATTGTCAGTAGTACTAATGGAGAGGTGTGTGTTTGTTGGGCTACTCTGTGACATGTATTTTACATACATTTTCTTGCTATGTTATTTGATTTTTAAAGTAATTCCTTGTAGTAGGGATCATCCACATTGCAGAGTTAGGAAGCAGGTTCAAGGAAGTTCAGTGGTTTTATCCAAGGTTGTGCAGCTGATACATGACTGGAACCTGAGTTTTCTGACAGTCCCTGGTGTTTTTTCTACCGGAATTACAATTGGCTGTCGTAATGAGTTAGGCTAAGATTATAGGTCCTCAGTGAAGCTCATAGGAAGGTATTAATGGCACCTAGCAGTAGCCTGATGGACAAAAATTTAAATTCCAGTTCATAGGAATGAATCAGTTCACTCAGGTCAAGAAGACTGTGGTATTGAACTGGAAAATGCATGTCAGAAAAAGGAAGGAATTGTTTAACTTAGTTGTTCTTTGATCGCATTAAGGTTGGGCTCTGGATTGATGCTGGAAGTCGATATGAAAATGAGAAGAATAATGGATCAGCTCACTTTCTGGAGCATATGGCTTTCAAGGCAAGTTGGAAGATTTGTTTTACAAAAATGAATTCTCTTTATTCTAGTTAGTTTTTTTCCCCCCTCTTATGTGGAACCTAGAGCCTCATGCCAAGCCAAGTACTCTGCCACTGAGCTACATCCCCAGCACTGTATTCTCTTTAAAAGGTGGTAAGTGCAAAATCTCAGACTTTAAAGCTGAAAACTACTTCCACAGAATGATTTTATTTTATTTTTCTAGGGCCGTGTCTTAAAATGATTACTGTTACTTGATTTGTAAAATTGAAATAAGGATTTTCTCCTGGAATGCAAGAGTTATCTGAATATATACCATTTTGAAGCCCAGTGTATTTATTTATTTTTGTTTGTTTTATAAATTTTATTTTATCCCATTCCCCCCTTCAGGCCCCTCCCCTCCCTGTGTACAAAAGCTGTTTCCATTTTCCCTTCTATTTTCACTTCTTCCTTGCCCCTTTCTTCCTTTCTCTCTCCCTCCTCCCTTGTTCCCCTTCCCATTTGAACACTTTCTTCCCATTTCCCAACATCCATTATACATCTCAGTCCTTATTTCCACATTCAGTTTCTCACACTAGAGAAACTATCTGGTATTTACACATGTGTGTCTTATTTCTTTCACTTAAGAGTATGGCCTCAATGTGCATCCATTTAGCTATAAATGACTAGTTTCTCATTCTCTATGGCTGAGTAGTACTCCATTTTATAAAAAAAAAAACCCACGTCTTTATCCAGTCACAAGTTGATGGGCAATTGGGCTGTTTTCAAGCTTTAGCTATTACAAACTGTGCCGCTATAAACATGGGCGCACATATATCTCTGTGGTATGATTCTTTTAATTCTTTGGGGAAGATCCCAAGCAGGGGAACAGCTGGGTCAAATGGGACCTCCAGCCCTAGTTCTTTGAGGTATCTCCATACTGATTTCCACAGTGCTTGCACCAGTCTGCACTCCCACCCACAGAGGAGAAGGGTTCCTTTCTCCCCACACCCCCGCCAGCATTTATTATTGGTTGATTTCATGATAGCAGCCATTCTTTCTGGAGTGAGATATAATCTCAGCATAGTTTTAACTTCCATTTCTTGAATGACCAATGGTGTTGAACATTTTTGCATATGTTTATTTGCCATTTCTAATTCTTTATCTGAGAAGTGTCTGTTCATTTCAGATGCCCGCCCGTTTTTGCATTGGGTCTTCAAATTTGAGGGGTCTGATTTTTTTTCTTTTGAGTTCTTATGATTTTTTTTTTTTTTTTGGTACTGGGGATCGAACTCAGGCCCTTGTACTTGCAAGGCAGGCGGCAAAACCACTGAGCTCAATCCCCAGCCCTTGAGTTCTTTATATATTCTAGATAATAGTCCTTTATGTGAATAGCGGGTAAAAATTTTTTCCCACATTGTGGGTTGTCTTTTCACTCTGTGGTTTCTCTTCCTGTGCAAAATCTTTTTAATAAGATGAGGTCCCAGTTGTTGATTCTTTGTAGTATTTCTCATGTGGTCTGGGTTTTGTTCATGAAGTCTTTGCCTACTTAAGCGTTCTACCTATTCTCTCTAACAGATTTAGTGTTTCTGTTTTAATATTTAGATCTTTGATTCATTTTGATTTTAGGTTAATGCATGGTGAAAGACAGAGGTCTAGTTTCAATCTTTGGCATGTGGAAAGCCAGTTTTCCTAGCACTATTTATTAAAGAGGGTATCTTTCTTCCAGTGAAGGTATTTGACTCCTTTGTCAAAGATAAGGTGGCTGAGTATGTCTGGAGTTGTTTCTGCATCCTTTAGTCTATTCCATTGATCCTTAGGTTTGTTCTTTTGCCAGCACTATGCTGTTTTTTTTCCCTTTTTTTTTTTTTTTGGTACCGGGGATTGAACTCTGGACCTTGTGCTTGTGAGGCATGTGCTGGAACCACTGAGCTAAATACCTGACCCTACCATGCTGTTTTTATCACTGTAGCTTTGTAGTATAATTTAAAGGCAGGGATTGTGATACCCCTGCTTAGCCCTTGTTGCCCAGAATTGCCTTTGCTATTCTAGGTCTCTTCTGGTTCCAAATGAATTTAGGATTGTTTTTTCTAATTCTGGGAGATAAGCTGTTGGGATTTTGATTGGGATTGCATTGAATCTGTATAACAATTTTGGAAGTATGGCCATTTTCACTCTATTGGTTCTTCCTATCCAAGAACAAGAGATATCTTTCCATTTTCATATATCCTCTTCAAGCTTCTTTTTCAAAGTACTGTAGTTTTCAATGTAGATGTCTTTTACTTCCTTCGTTAGATTGATTCCGAGGTATTTCATTTTTTTGGATGCTATTGTAAAAGGGATTGTTTCTCTAATTTCTCTCTCCCTGAGTCTGTTATTTGTGTACAGGAAGGCTATTGACTTTTGAGTGTTGACTTTGAATCCAGCTACACCACTGAATTTGGTTATCAAATCTTAAAATCTGCGGCCAGGGATTTAGCTCAGTGGTGCTGTGTCTGCCTCAAAAGCACAAGGTCCTAAGTTCGATCCCCAGTACCGCCAAAAAAAAAAAAAATCTAAAAGTCTTTTGGTGGAGTTTTGGGGGTCTTCTATGTGTAGTATCATGTCTGCAAATAATGACAATTTAACTTCTTCCTTTCCTATCTTTATTCCTTTTATTTCGTTCTCTTGTCTAATTGCTCTGGCTAATACTTCCAGAACTATATTAAACAAGAGTGGTGACAGTGGACATCCTTGTCTTGTTCATGATTTTAGAGTGAAAGCTTTCAGTTTTTGTCCCTTTAATAATGATGTTGGCTGTTGGTTTGTCATAGATGAGAAGCTTAATGTATTTTAGAAACCAAATTTGTCCTGGTATAAAACTGACCATGGCTTTTGTCATCTGTTTCATTATCAGAAGTGTTTAGCAAGGTGAAGGATAAAGAAAGGAATCACAATTCATTTTCCTATTTTTTCCTAAGGGCACCAGAAAGAGGTCCCAGTTAGACCTGGAGCTTGAGATTGAAAACATGGGCGCTCATCTCAATGCCTACACCTCCAGGGAGCAGACTGTGTATTATGCCAAAGCCCTCTCTAAAGACTTGCCAAGAGGTACTACTATTTACACTGGGGTGTCGTCATTTTTCACAGGGATACAGAAACAATTGAGTACTCTTTTTACATGTTACGAAAGAGCGGCCCCCAGAAGTGTGAAAAAAAACCGAACCAAGTCCGGGTCAGGGGCAGCTGTTCTTATTTTCTTTCCAAATATGCCAAATGATATCAAATATTTACAGGCATGAAAACCTGTGCAAACAAGCTCTTAGCACTTGTTTTAAACCTCCTTCCAGAGTCATATCTGTATAGTATTCTTTTATTCTTTGATACAAGAACTGTTGATTTTGAGCAAAATAAGCAAATGTTCACTTACAACATTACTGATTGTTTATAAAGCTGTAAAATAGAGGTTATTTTGACTTTGTAGAAATAGAATAATTTTTACAGCATAGCACAGCAGTTTCTGTATAGCGTTTTGAAAATCTTACAGCAATGTTATTACATAAAACGTTTTTTTTTTTTTTGGTACTGGAGATCGAACTTGGGTCCTTGCACTTTCGAGGCAGGCGGCGGAACCACTGAGCTAAATCCCCAGCCCTCAGAAAACATGTTTGCAGTGGAAGAATTAACAACAGAACTTTGCATTTTAAAGCTAATTTGTGAAGTTACTAATCTTAAAGGTCCTTGCATAATGTGATTTTATTATTGTAAATTTTGGGGTTTCTAATCGAGTTTTATTAATAAGGTGTGAAGGGCACTTGCCCAGGCACCCATGGATAAAATGTCCATTGGATCTAGTTCCCAGGCAGGTGTCACCACTTTGCTCTTGTGGAAATCGAGGCCCATACTGACTCTATAGAGCATAGTGTGGCCTCCAGTGTGCTACTTTTGACTCAGATTCATTTTCTTTGTCAAAACAACAGCAAAGCAAAGCAAAACAGAAAGCTCATCACCTGTCCATAAATAAAAGGCCAGCAAAAATGACTGCAGCAATGACGGATGTATTGGTCTGAGTGACAGAGACAGGCTAATCAGGGACTGAGGACAAGGGGCAGGCATGTTCTTCACAGAGCTGTGCCTTGTAGACCACGCCTTCCTTCTTTAACACAGCAGCAGGAAAGGCAAGGAGGAGGAATAGAAAAAGGAAGGGACAAGTAGAAAGGTCTCTTTCTCCCTCCTGGCCGCTGGCTGGGGAGCGAGAGCAGGGGCTCCTGGGGGAATGGAAGCGGCTTGCTCTGTAGAACTGCTGGCTTCCAGCCTCCCTGGAATTTTTATCCCCTCAGCTGAGTGAAGCTGGTGTGGTAATAATTAAACATGTAGACTAGACATCTCCAAATTTTTATGATCACTCTTTTCTTTTTGTAGTACTAGGGATTGAATCCAGGGTCTTCACACTGATTATCTCCCCAGCCTTTTTAAAATTTTATTTTGAGACAGGGTCTCAGCAAGTCACCAGGTTCCTTAGGCTTGGCTCACATTTGCAAATGTCAGCCTCCCAGCCTCTTCTTGATGGGATTACAGGTGCACAGCAGACCTGGCTGGGTCACCCATTCCTATCAGTGAGGAACTTGATCCTCCAGCTGCAGTATAAGTTAACTACTTGACCTACTCACTGAACAGTGCTGAGTATGTGTTACAAAGAAGTAAGGGAGATTTTAAGTAAAACAGTACCAGGAACTAGGGCCCCGTCTCCTTGGGCTGCTGGCCTGGACTCCCAAGCCCCCTGAAGGAGGAGCTCCATGCGGGAACTCTGTGCTGCCCGCTGCCCGAGGCCTGTCTTCACCACCTGCCTGGACTGTGGTTTCCCTATCTGGACAGATGAGTTTTTTATTTGGTGTTATTGATATTTTTTTAAAAAATAAAACAATTTTACTGATAATTCTCTGCCTTTGATCATGCTCTAAATCTCAGTTTACACTTACCAGTCTGTTTTGTCATTTTCTTGGTATTTGAACATAGTTCATTGAGACAAGGTCCCATAAAGTGAACATAAAATAAGGAACAAAAGTGTATAGTTCTTCAAAAACATGACTTAAGATTATTAAGTTTATTTTACATTTAATACAATTTAGATTGCGATTGCAAGAAGAAAACTGGGTTGTTCCGTTTTTAGAGGTATGTAATTTTTCTCGAAATTCACTGCACTGTTAGAGTTCTCGAGGTCGCAGCTCTGTCAGGGCCCTTGGGGTGACTCACTGCGGTACTTCTTTGCCTCATTGCTGGGGTAGAAAGTACCTGGGTGATGTGAACCCTCTCTATACCTATGTTTTTGGTCTAATATAATTTCCTACTTTGTAATTTTCATGCAGAACCATCTATATATTATTTTGCAGATTTCTGTGGCAGTTTTGAAGTAGTAGATAGAGTCATTAAAAGGATGGCAAATTTAGGATTTTTCCCCCCAAGCTTCTCTGTACCCATAGGGGTTTATATTTTACATTTTAAATTTTAATATTGTCCTTTTAGATATATTGAATATATGGATGAATTTTCTCAGGTTAATCACTGAAGTCAGTATTGAGTGTTGGTCAGTGTCATAGCTTCTGATGTTGGTTTAAGAGATTTTAATATCAAACATTAAGATTCTTGGTGTTTCTTTGTGTTTTGATCTCATTTAGCTGTAGAAATTCTTGCTGATATAATACAAAACAGCACATTGGGAGAAGCAGAGATTGAACGCGAGCGTGGAGTGATCCTTAGAGAGATGCAGGAAGTTGAAACCAATTTACAGGAAGTTGTTTTTGATTATCTTCATGCCACAGCTTATCGAAATACAGCACTCGGAAGGACAATTTTGGGACCAACTGAAAATATTAAGTAAGTATAAAAATTTATAATATTTATAAACTTCTAAGAAGTGTATTAGGCCATTTCTCCCCTGATAATCTGAGTGGTATTGTAGTTGGCTATACTTCAACTTCACAGAATTCCCAGGTGTATGGGCTTATATGCTTCCGGAACAAGCAGTTGATGGTGTCAAATCTGCCTTTCTTGGCATAGGAAAGTTGAAATTCTTTGGTATTTGTTGCCCGAGTCCCATTTCTGACTGCTTTAACTCTTAGAATACTGTTAAAGTTCAATCTGGTACTAGGTATATCACGTGAAGACCTGGGCCTTTTATTTCCTTTTCAAATTGTTTTACTCCATTGACAGGTCTATAAGTCGTAAGGACTTAGTGGATTATATAACTACACATTATAAGGGGCCAAGAATGGTGCTTGCTGCTGCTGGAGGTGAGTCAGTTTAAATTTTTGTAAATGTTTTAATTTTTTTTGGTACTGGGGATCGAACTCAGGACCTCGCGCTTGCCAGGCAGGCTCTGTGCTGTTGAGCTAAATCCCAAGCCCCTCTGTAAGTGTTTTGTACAACTGTTGGAGTGGTATTTTCTTCAGCTTCATCCTGTTGAGAGCTATCCAAAGAGTTTTTATTTACAAAACATTGTTTAAAGTGTTTTTTGTTAGAGGAATGTGAAGTGCAGGAACCAGTTTCCCTGTCTTCTTTTTAGCAGGTTTCATTTGTAGAGAAACTAGATGCGGCACTCAGGTCATTAGTGTGCATACATACTGGGATTCGCTTACAGGATAAGGGTGGATGAGTGACCTGGGAGACAGTGCCATTCGAAAGCAGTGTCCTACAGTGGGAGAATCTCTTGAGGTTTGAAGTTATTTCTGGAGAGGTAACTCTACCCTTGGTCAGGCAAGGAATGGGTCGTTCATCGCCGTCTTTGGAGTCATTTGCTCAGAGGCTCTGCTGAGTGCTGAGTGTGGGGAGCACAGGGAGCCCTGAGAATGTGCACCCTGACCCAAACCCACGGGCGACATCACGCTTCCTGGGGCCATCTGCGGAGTCAGTAAATGAGAGACAGTTTAATTCATTCCCTGGCAGACTGAACTTAGGTGAATAGGACATTTTAATTGGTTTCCAGTGTTTCCTATCTTTTACATTAGAGCACAGTGAAGATGGTGTGCAGGTGTTTCCCTTTGTAGAAATTACAATGAATTGCTAGTTGCTCTGGGTAGACTTCTGAGCTAATGACCTGGGGTAGTGGAGGTGAAATGTCTCGCATGTGGTACTCACTCGTGGCTCCCAGCAAAGCCATGTGTGCTGTCTGGAATTCTCTGTGACTAACACGGTTTCTGAAACAGCTGGTGCCACGGGGGCTTCAGCATTCGAAACTGCCTTGGTTAGATGGCACCTCAGCAGCGAAGCTGACTGGGCCTGCTCAGCCAGTACTGTGGCACATGGACACAGTGAGTGCCATCTGATTTTGGCCGAATAGAGCATAGAGTTCACAGCACTCCTAGGTTACTTAGCATTTTATCTTAATGGTACATAAATGTTGATGTGCCTTACAAATGATGGCATCTTAGACTCAGTGAAATAGACCAGTTTAAGCCTCAGTTGACACCTCCTGATTTATTGTCCTGGCTACCATTTAGCTCATAGTCTTCCATTATGTGTAGCTTTGAATTGCTGAATAAATTTTCCTCTCTGGCTTCATTTAAAAAGACTAGTTTCCCTGCCATGTAGATTGCAGTAAGTAGAGGTGGTATTGGAGAGCAGCCAAGTATCTGGTCTGTCCACCCAGGTTGAGTCGGTGAGGTAGTAACAGTGGCAGTGGAGTTGCGTGCTGAAAGTACCTGAGAGTTTTCACTGAGTGCACCTGCTGCCCTTGTACTGTGATGTTTGTGTTGTCACCCTCTGGATTGGCACCCAAGGTGACCCTTGACAGTGATTCCCAAAACAACATACTGTCCAATACTGTCTTGTTTTATATTAGTAATTATTTTGAAATATGCGTGTAAGTGGTGTTTTTATAATCTAATGGAATATTCTGAAGAAATCTTATGTTTTTAAAGCACTCACATGTTCACATTTACAAATTTATGTTTAAGAAACCTTCACTGAGCCGGGCATGGTGGTGCATGCTTGTAATCGCAGCACTCAGGGATCAGCACGTGTTCGAGACCTGCATGGGCTGCTTAGTGAGTTCAAGGCCAGCCTGAACTACATAGCTAGACCTGTCTTAGCCCTCTCCCCAAAGACTGAATCTTTTTGGGCCCCAGGTTTGGACAGTAAGGGATATAGAATCTAAGCTTATGTTTTGGATGTTGAAGTAGTGAGCATGTGAATCACAGTGGGTATATTGAGAAATCTTGTTCTCGAGTTTTGATGGCAGAATTCCAAGAATGAAGCTTATCTGTATATCTTTAAGTGAGACAGGGCTCATTTGTATTCTTTCCTACTTTAAAACGTAACATGAAATTGCTCTCTTGGTAGGTTGCATCCTAGAACTTAATGTAATGATTTTGTGTAGAAAGTGGTATTTTCTTCTTTAGCTCTGAGTACACTCACACTGATGAGAACAGCGTGTTGTGAGCCATTTCCTCTGAAAGGGCGGTTCCCGTGCAAGATGCATCACATCGTACCCCCGGAGAGCGTTGCTAAGCAGTGTCTAGCAGCCGGTGGTCTGACTTGGACTGCACTGCTGTCAGATGTGGATGAACACATTTTCCTTCATTTAGGTGTTTCCCACGATGAACTGCTTGAGTTAGCGAAGTTTCATTTTGGTGACTCTCTCTGTGCTCACAAAGGAGAAATACCAACTCTGCCTCCCTGCCAGTTCACAGGAAGTGAGGTATTGCCAGCCGCTTAGCTCGAATTTAGCCTTCTGGGTGTCTTGTGTTACATTTGCAAATGAATAGACAAAATGTGCATTTTCAATAGGAGTATGATGGAGGAAGTCTGCTGAAACAGAAAAGGGAAGAGGACAGGCCCTTTTGCTTCCATTCTTTCCTACTCCGTGTTATTTAACTCACTGTTTTCCTTTCCTAAGGGAGGAAAGTTTTAAGAGCAGTTAAGTTATAATTTGGTCCTTTTGTGCTTTTTCTCTGGCATTATCCCTCTTACATATAAGATACAAAAATAACCTTACCATCAGAAAGACCCAAAATCTTTCTCATTGAGTTTACTCTTGGCTAAGTTCTGCCCACGATACATCTGTTGGGTAGCGGTTAAGAGCCAGAATTTGCAGGGAATCTGCTACTTACCACCTTTAGCTTTGAGTCTCACTAGGAGCTTGGTTTGCCACATTAGGATGTTGCTCAAAATAGTATCTGGAAAGAGGTCTGATGTTGGTGGTTGCATAGAACTGTAGCATTGGCAGCACAGAAACAAACCTGTAATGTATTAGTTTAAATTTTGATAGAAAAAATACAGATTGACAAATACAAAATGGATTTCTACCAGGTAAACCTGGTAGTATTTCAGTAGAGATCTTTTGGGCATGGTGGTGCATGGGTGTAACCCCAGCACTCAGGAGGCTGAGGCAGGATTGTAAATTCAAGTCCAGCCTGGCTAACTTAGTGACTTAGTAAAACTAGGTCTCAAAGAAAAAGGGGCTGCAAGAGTAGCACAGTTGAAAGCCAAACTTCATTTGGCAGTACTGCCCCTCCCCACATTAATTTAGGAGATTCTTCTAAACAGTACGGTATAATGAGTCTCGATAGTTAAAAAAAACAAGAGTAATAATGATCATTTGAACTTGGCAATTAAGAGGACCAGTGAGGTTCTTTTTTCTTTTTTTTTTTTGGTGCCAGGGATCGAACTCGGGTCCTTGCGCTTGCGCAGCAGGCAGCGAAACCACTGAGCTAAATCCCCGGCCCCATCTCTCTTTCTTGTTAAGCATGCTACAGAGCAGTAATGTAAATCTTAACAAGGTATTTTGTTTGTCCTCTCTAGATTCGTGTGCGGGATGACAAGATGCCCTTGGCACACCTTGCAATAGCTGTCGAAGCTGTTGGCTGGGTGCATCCAGATACAATTTGCCTCATGGTTGCAAACACACTGATTGGCAACTGGGATCGCTCTTTCGGAGTAGGGATGGTAAGTGACTTTAATTTCTCATAATGAACGGAATACATTGTTTGTAAGAACTCTTTCCCCCTGAAATGGGAAAATACTGCTTTGTACTGTGACTTTTAAAATATAAACTGACCTAGGTTGCATTTGGGCTAGAGAAAAGTATTTTTTTCTCTGCCACAGAAATTTAGGATAGTTGGCAAAATAAGAACAGGAGAAGTACAGTTTCTGTTACAAAATAGTAATAGTAGTTACTGTAATAACTGTAGTACAGTAGTTACTAACATTACCATATCATTAATTGTAATCAAATGAAGGTGATAGAAGAAAACGAATTTTTTATTTTCATTACTATACACTATAGGGGCAAAAAAGCATATTTGCAGCTTACTCTCAAACTGTTGAAAAAGCATATATACTTTTTTTTTGGTTCCGGAGATTGAACTTGGGACCTTGTGCTTGTGAGGCAGGTGGTGGCACCACTGAGCTAAATCCCCAGCCGGAAAAAATGTATATAAAGAAAAACATAAAAGCACACATGGTAAAATATAACCAGTTAAAGAAATTTGGATTAAGGGAATATTTTTGCATTATTTTTACAATTCTGTAAGTCTGAAATTCAAAATAGTATAGATTTGTCTGAAAATTTCTCTAAAATACATTTTATATAAATACTTTAAGGTTCACATGCAATATAATTTAAAATCATTCAGACATATGTAATCAAGAGGCCTATAAATGGGTTTGTAACAATGTATTGCTTTATAAGTAGGTGTAATTACTGTTATCAGTTACAAGGACTAGGTGCTTTTAAACATAATTCTTGGCCTTGCCGAATTTTATTACTATGTTGCTGGATAAAACTAGGAAACTTAGGCATTTTGCTATGACATCATTTTTCTTTTTGATGCTCTGGACACCGGTATCTACATTTGTCTTGGACTGTTTCCTTACAGAATTTATCTAGCAAGCTGGCCCAGCTCACTTGTCAGGGCAGTCTCTGCCACAGCTTCCAGTCTTTCAACACCTCCTACACAGATACAGGATTATGGGGACTCTACATGGTTTGTGAACCAGCCACAGTTGCAGACATGATACATGCTGTTCAAAAAGAATGGTGAGAAAATAACTAAATAGTTTAAATCTTGACTAGGATTTGCGTTCTAAGCCAGTTTTCTTTTTACACCTTGTAGACAGTAATTTTATCTTTTAAAGCAGTAGCTGTGATTGCTATGTTTTTAAACATAGATATCTCTTAGAAGAAAAGTGTGAAGCTGGTTTTATAAATTCTTAATCCTTCAAAAGCAAATTACTCTATAGATCCTAAAACCTTAAAAGCTAAATAGAAGTTGTTTGGAAAATATCTCAAAGTAATCTGGAAAGGCAGGGTATGGAAGTCAGTCTGAAGGTACCACTGGTAAAAGAAAATGTTTTAATTAAAAATCAGGCTAGGGGCCGGGGATTTAGCTCCGTAGTTTCACTGCCTGCTGCACAAGCGCAAGGACCTAGTTTGATCCCCGGTACCAAAACAAAAAACCAAAAAAATCAGGCTAGTATTTCATAGTCAGTAGGCAGAGGCAGACTCATGTTTCTTAGAACTTTTATTCAGATGTTTCCTCCAATATTCACTGGCTTTTATCTAATGATAGTCAACTGGAATGTGATCATTAATTATTAGGTTTAAGTTAAACTCAACTGATTGGTCATTGGGTCATTCACTTTTTTAAAGACAAATCCTCTAGCATAACAGACCCTAATAGATGGGGATTTGTGAAGTCTCAAGATGATTTTAGTTAGCATTTCTCAATTGTGGTTGGCCTATTTTTATAGTGTATCAAACATGTGTCTGCTGATAAACAATGAGAAATTTATATTTTCTGAGAAAACAGTAACTAGGGAAATGAGATTATTTTAGCTTTTGCTTACTAGTAGAATTATTAGTAATTTCAACTTTTTATTAAGTTGAAATAACTATAGTACTTGTAAGTTGAAATGTTATATAGAATGTGATATCTTTCTTTAGGTCATTAAATTATAAAATTACATAACATTTTCCAATTCTTTCATAATACTAGTTCCCATATGTATTTTAGGATGCGACTCTGTACAAGTGTAACTGATAGTGAAGTTGCACGAGCCAAAAACCTTCTGAAAACAAACATGTTGTTACAGCTTGACGGTAAGAATGACTTAGGGACTCTAGCTCAATGGTAGGGTCCAATCTCTAGCACAGCAAAAAACAAAACCAAACTCGGGTCTTGTCTTTGAATGGCTGATCTACATTTCAGTAGTTTTTCCTTCTCTTTAAACAGGTTCTACACCAATTTGTGAAGATATTGGTAGGCAGATGTTATGCTACAATAGAAGAATTCCCATCCCTGAGCTTGAAGCAAGAATTGATGTAAGTAGTCTTTAGATCCAGTTGGGTCTTGTGTACAAAGATCCTTGTTACAAAGGCTGAAAACATGTAATCTTGATTCAGTTTTTAAAAGCCACATATAGAATGTCTTTACTACAAAAAGCTCAGAATGATGGTACCGTCCCTGTTTCAGGCTGTGAATGCCAAGACACTTCGAGAAGTCTGCACCAAATACATCTATGACAAAAGTCCAGCTCTTGCTGCTGTTGGTAAGTCTGGCTCCTTTGGTCTTGTGCAGAAAGACAGCCTTGTACTTTTCATTCAGTTTTAACTACCTTCTTTTTAATCCACAGGTCCTGTTAAGCAGCTACCAGATTTTAACCAGATTTGCAGTAACATGTGCTGGCTTCGTGGTTAAAATGATTGTAATCAAAATATTTTGAAAGCATGTTTATAAAACTGCCTATTGTAAACTTTCAGTCCCTGAAGAAAAAAGCAAGTGTGAATGAGTTTGGAAATCTTTCCGAATCAAATGTCAGAGATTACCACCTTGATGATTGTTTTATGTAACATCAATCTTAGTGCTCTGAGAAATTGTATTGGAAGCAGCACACGTTCAAATTATTACCATAAATATAATTTTGGAAATAAAAAATTTATACAGTGTTTTCAGTTTTATTATAAAAATGCACACAACGAAGATTGTCATTGCGTCACTTCCTGGCTCTACTTGCATTCAGCACTTGCTCTTGAGCAGCCTTCTTTGCTTTTACCATCTCAACAAGTTCCTAGGAGAGAGAACAGTGTGATTTAAGAAGCTGTCACTTTTAAAAGATGTATCCAATATAAAGTTTGTAAAGTTTCTAAGGTTGGCCATTTCTTTATAATGTCTTTGGCCCCAGAACCACTGTGGCAGTAAAATAAGCATGATGATACCTATTATTATTGAAATAACAGACATAAGCAAAATGCCAACTCTATCACAAGTTATAGTATGAATGACAATGAAGTTTGTCAACTAAAAATCTTCCACCTTATATCGTTTCATGCAGTCCTTCTTTGTCCTGCCAGGAACTGCTTCTGCAATTTTTTCCCACCTCTCAGGTGTGTTTACTGGGTATGTTTTCAGAGCTTGTTCCAAAAGCTTCTGTTCTTCTGTTGTCCAGGGGGTGAAATCTGTGCACAGACCTGTTGAAGCACAGTATGAGAAATTATCTGCATCATTACTGGTCTCTTAAAACCTAGTACACTCAATAGACGTTTTAAAATTAATTCGCTGGATAGGGCCCTGGAAAATACTCCTATTTTACACTATCAAAATCAAGCTAAGCGCCCAAGGATTCAGTGGTATTCAACCAAGCGTTTCTTAAAGTCTTGTGGAGGCAATGCGGAACACTTCTGTTAATGCAGCTCCTCGCTGTTATGGTTGTGTCTGGATGAACCCCCAAAGCCTCATGCAGTCATAGGTGGCTTTTTCAGAGGTGGCTGGATCTGGAGTGTGTGGTGCTGGAATTGAGGGTGTGTGATGACTATATCAGTCCACTGACTGGTTTGGCGCTGACAGTTTCTGGCTAGAATTAAGGGTGTGAGTGCTACACTTGTCCTAGGGCAGGTAGCCTGCATAAAATACAAGGGAAAGAAAGAGGGCTAATATGCTCTTGCCTGCCTGCCTGCCTGTTATGGACTGTTTCTCCTCTGTGATGACCTTCTGCCACACCACCCTGCCTTGGAGCCACATGACTGGACTGAAAGCTCTACGAACTGTGAGCCAAATAAACCTTTCCTCCTCTAACTTTGGGTGTCAGGTATTTTGTCTCAGTAACAAGAAAAGACACTCAACTGAACCTTTTATAGTTGACAAAACATGTAATGTATCAAAAACACATTATTTAAGGATGTTTGGTATTAACTCACTCCTCCAGTAAAATGAGAATGTTAAAGGCAGTACCACCTATATACTACCAGCAATCTGTCTACTGCTTGAAATTATATTGTGAGATTAAGCATAAAAGGGGAGAAATCAAACTTATTTCTCTATTAAAAAAAGGAAACATACTCAGAACTCATCTGTATTTGACAGCAGATTAGAAGCTTTTTCGAGGGTAGCTTTTAAATTCTAAGAACTTCTTAGTTCAATTTCCTTTTATTGGTCTCAGGGTCTCCTTGATGCTATAGTTTTAGTGATGTGAAATCATTCTCTGCTTTTCTCTAGTTACTTCAGAAAAGGAAAATGAAACCACGTTCCAAAATTCCTACAAGAAATCACTACTGAGAGAGGTGGCAGGGCTGGGAGATGGAGCTCAGTGATAGGGCATGTGCCTGGCTACGCAGGCTCTGGGTTTGAGCCCAGTACCTCCAAAAGGAAAAAAGGATGGGGGGGCGGTGTGTTTTGGTGTTTAATGTGGTGAATGGAGAGGACACTTCCCATTTTACCCATAAAGAGTAAAGTCAGACACAGGTAGCAACACTGCCAATAACTCCTTTAAAAAAGGGATCTGAATGTTGTATGAGCTTTTGCATACAAGGTGAAGGGGCAGGAGAATAAACCTCTCCTGAAGTGCCCTTTAGGTGTGCTGAAACCTGCACTGTTACTTCATTAAAGGTCAAAATCATGCCTTGCTCAAACAAGACAGCCCAGATTTTTACAAGCACAGCATGATTTCCTCTCCTTCTACAAAACATACTTAAGTCTGGATTTTCAACCTAGAGATAATAAACCAGACTAAGAATATAGGTAAAACTGGGACTATGAGAAGACAGGTGCAGCTTAACAGTCAAGTCTACTAATCCAAAAATGTGTTTGGAATTATGATCTGGAAAGCGTATCCAAGATTAGTTTAAGGAAGGATTGGTGCCTCAAATATGCACTAAGTAGGGCCAGAGATCTAGCTCGGTGGTGCCGCCACCTGCCTCGAAAGCACAAGGTTCCAAGTTCGATCCCCAGTACCAAAAAAAATGCATTAAGTGAAACTCTTCAGAAAGCAAAACTCTTGCAAACATTTCTGTCACAGTTGTAAAAACTTTGTATTATATCCCCAAACACAAACATAAATGAACAAAATTTCACAAGGAAAAGACCTGTTCCCGGTGTTATGCTGGTTAATATTTTCTTTTCACAACCTACTAAGTTTATTTCATGACCCAGTGAGGGTCATGATTCTAATCAGAAAAACAGGTCCAGAGTAATCATAATAGTTAGAATACACCCAACCCAATGACAGCACTTTAACAGTTTCTATCTTGAAATACTTCTGCAGAGTAGAAAGAAGCCCTGTATACTCTGTCTGGATTCCTACATGTGAAGGTTGTACCATATTTGCTTTTTCTTTCTATATACAGACATTGTTCTGAACTATTTGAGACTAAGTTGTAGACGTATCACCTCTTTACTCCTAAATCACTATTTTTCCTTAAAAACGAAGGAATTTTCTGACACAACTAGTACATTTTGTAAAATCAGGAAATTAACTGATAAAATATTATTACTTCTGCACTGTCCCAACAGTATCCTTCAGCACTGATTTGCAGTACATGATGAGCAAGTAAGTACACCCTCTCCTTTAAGACATCCAACTGGGAAAATGAACATCAGTGGTTGGCCAAGTAAACCTCTGACTCATGCTTGCTCTTACATCTTCTAGTCTGCTAAACAGTTTATATTAGTCATTCTGAACATAGACCCTAGTAGGTCTGACATATCTTCAGTAGCCTGGAGTCATGGTAAGCATTGTCTACTTTTAGAAAAACAAAACTTACCTTCAAATCGTTCTGAAGGTGTTGCATTATCTGCTTGAGGTACCACTCCATGTTCTTTTCTAAATTTATCAAAAGCCTTTCTGTTTATGTCATCTTTTTGATGAGGGTCTGAGAAACAAAGTTTAATACATTAACAGATCACCTCATTTAGTCCCTCATTAAATATCTAAATTATTTGGAAAAACATGTATCCAAAGTAACAAATTGATTTCTCAGAACTCACCAAGCTTCTGGAGACTCTTTGCTTTGCCAATAACATCTTTGGCTGTTCTTTTGACACCAGAAGAAGAATGTATGTTCATGTAATTAGCAATAACTTCCCATCTAGAGTGACAGTGTGAGTTTAATAATAGTAAGGAAACAAACAAAAAACAGTAAATTTTTACTCCAGAAGGGTTATAAAATCTATACAGTAAGCTCTAAATTAGTCTAATTATACTATTAGACTTCATTACTATTGCCTGGATGGTAAGTTCATGTTCAAGTAACTACAATGTTGGTTTTAATCTCTATAAAACCTTACCGACACCGTACAAGTCAACAGAAATGAAACTGGACACTTGTGTATACCGCCCACCCCATACATCCATCTTGAGAGGAGGCCATGTGGAAATCTGCCTTCGCTCCTCATCTACAAACCAGGGAGGCTGAATCTCTAGGGCTTGAGTTTTAACCCTGGACTTTGAAGGAAGCAGTGGTGTGAGGTGAGAAGCAAACACCTATGATGGCGAAAGGGAAACTACAGGAAACAAAACCTAGCCCCTAGCACATGTCGTGAAGGCATAAGCTAAGTAAGTCAAGATTTCTCTCCCGTTCTTGAGTTTCCCGAGGCACTGGTGGTGCACCTTGCTTCATGTGTATGTGTTAGTATAATGGGTAAGATGAGAGGTTCAAAATGCACTGTGGTTTTCCCATTTTCCACTAAAGGCCAGAATTTAGTGGCAGGCAGCTTTTCTAGATTTGAGTTTCTCCGACAACCAGTGGTGCTATTTGGAGTTCTGCCTCCAGGCTATGTGTTGAAAAGTGTTCATGAAAACCAGTACCTTGAATTTGTTCCAGCAGGGAAGAGATTCACAGCTTTAATTAGTAACTGCAGATCATCTTCTGACCAGTTTTTACTGCTACTCCCACCTCCGCCAGTTGACTTCTCTGCATTCTTAGATGCTTGTCGCATGCGTGCTTCGGCTTCCTCTTTCTCTTTTCTAATTTGCTCATTTATTTCTTCTATCTACACAAATAGCACAGGCAAATCAGGACTCACAGCCTCCTCTACTCTTCACTCCCTGTGCCGAGGCTCTGTGGTTCTCAATTCCCTGCGCAGCCCCACTCTGACACTCTGCTCCTTCCAGGCCACCCCAAACAGCAGCAGGTCTGCAGCAGGGAGCAGGCCCGCCCCGCCCCGCCCTGCCCCGCTCGCCCAGTCTTCGGGAGGTTTCTGTAGTCGCCAGGGACAGGGTCAGTGGGTTTTCATACACAAGGCCCATTTGAGCTGCTCTTTAAACTCATATTCACTCTTGGCAAATAATCTCATTTGCTCTCTACAAAAAGGTAAAAAGGTGCAGGAAGGAGGCCTCTGTTTTACGTTCTATCCTTTATCTTGTTTCTTTCGGTCTACTTTCAAATATGCACAAAGGAAACCTTGATGCCTGTCAGCTGGTGGCTTGGAGTCACTTTTGACTCATTTCTCTTCAATCCCTTAGAGCCAGCCATTAAGTCCCTGTAATTCTGATTTGGAAAAGTTTCAGCTGGGTGTGGTGGCTCACTCCAGCACCTGGGAGGCTGAAGCAGGATTGACATGGGTTCGAGGCCAGCCTGGGCTACATAGTGAGTTCAAGGCTAGCCTGAACTACACTGAGACTGTTCTCCAAAAGTTTTTCCTGATTCTAAACTTTCATAGTCCGGATCCTTAAAATGGGATTATTGTAACTAGTTACTTTATCCCTATCTGATGCATGCTAGGCCACTCACCAATGCCTGATAACTAGCAGTGTTGAACCTTCTGGTAGGTAAAGTAATGGGAACACGGTGGTACTAAAAAACCTGCTTAATTTGTATCTATTCTTCCTAATCAATTTCATTTTCCACATCTTTTCTCCATAACTTTCTATTCCTACTGCTATTATATAGTTCCTGTGGTTCCTTGACCTGCACTTTAACACTGTCTTTCCCAGAAGGCCAGTTCAGCCTTGTCACTGAGCTTTAGTGACCATTAGATGTGGACGCAGCCCTCCTGGAGCATGTACTGTAGGTGCTCCATCTTTTGGTCCTCAGCCTTTCTTCGAGCATAACTTTTCCTGACCTCCTTTGTGGCAGCAACAGCATTAGGCACTTCTCCACAACCACCCAGGCAGAGTGCTGTCTGCATTAGTTACTAATATGACTAACACTTGTTCAACTGAATTCAATGTCTGGGCCTGATTCCCTCACCTGTGCAATAAAAGGATTAGACCAGACAAAGATCTCTTTGGTTCTGAATGTTATCTGATAAAAACACTCAGAATAATCAAAACTACTTTGGAAAACTTATGATTAATGTGCTAGATACCACAAATCAAACACTGCACATGGTAAAACAAAACACCACCACACTAAATCCATTTTTAAAAAAACATTTAATACAAACAAAACATAGTGGAAAACACAGAGAAATTAGCCATTCTTGGCCCTCAGTATATGTATGAGGCGAAGAAACAGTGTTACGGTTTAGATCTAGTGTCCCCAAAAGTCTCAGTGTTCAGAGGTGGGGCTCTGGGCCATGGGGTGACAGGAATCAGTGCGTCCAAGTGCAGGAGCTGGATGTGCCGGAAGGGTGTTACTGTCCCAGCTCCCTGCTTCGCTCTGCTTCCCGGCCGCAAAGGGTTAAGCACCCTTTCCTGTCACGCCCCTCTGCCATCAGGAACCAACCTTGCACTGCAACCGGAAGCCCAAATAACCCCTCCTCCTCTAAGTTTTATGTTCAAGTGTTTTGTCCAAGTGAGGAGGAAAGTGACTAAGACAAACAGTGAGGTAAAAGAATAATGCTATTTCTTCTGTTACCTGTTTTTCCAGCGCAGCCTTTCCTACTTCTTTTGTAGACGTTATGAGTGTTTCATTCAAGCACTGTAAACTAAAGAAAGACAGCGATGAGGGCTGGGGTGCAGCTCTGTGGCCCAGCACATCAGGCATGAAGCCCTAGGTCTGATTCTCCCAACCACAGGAAGAAAGATGGAACTTTATCCTGAGCCCAGGAAAGGACTTGAAAAGCCACTCCGTAAGATATACCTTGCTAGTTCGAGCCGATCACAGAGTTTCTCCACTTCTTCCATCATTTTAACCCGTTCTGCCTCACTGTCCGAGAAGTGATTCCAGGTCTAGAAGCACAAAGGCAACATTTCCACCTTACATCTATTGACACCAGCAATACCTGCAAACACATCACCAGCATTCGTCCCGAGGTTCCGACCCGGAGGGGGATGCTGTGTCTGTCATCTGCAGCCTTCTCCTGGGCTCCACCGAGCAGCTGCAATGGAAGTGTGGGGAGGGAGCACAACAGTGCCCTCTCCTGCTACCCATCTTCAAGTGTCTCAACTGCTTATTGTCATTTCCATCGTTAATCACTGGATTTGTTTTTTTTCATTTTTTAAGACAGAATCTCACTACATAGTCCAGGCTGGCCTTGAACTCATGGGGATCCTCCTGCCTCAGCCTCCTGATTGCTAGGATTACAGGTGTGTGTCACCACACCTGGCTTAACCATTGGATTTTTTTGAGGGCAAAGGGATCATGTCATTATTATATCCATGTTACTTACAAATGCTTGGTACATACCGAGTATCACATATTTGATGAGTGGATTAAACCATGCTCCAAAGGAGTAAAAAAATCTGTTACCAAATGTCAGAACTTTTACCCTCATTTATGCACCATCCCTAAGAACTAGTCAAGCTTTCTAGCTCCTAACTGAGGTTTAAAGGTTTTATCAAGTTATCAGCATAGCTGAGGGTACCGCATCCTACCTTTGAGTTCACCTCAATGTTTCTGCCTAGGGATCATCTCAGCCATAAAGCGGTGAGGAAAGAGGCAGCAAGGTCCTGAGGTCACCTGCCAGGGGGCCCACGGGCTAGTGAGTGACAGGAGAAGGACTTCAAACTCAGGCAGCTGTTCTGAGCTCATGCTCTTTGCCACTTTGACTGGGCTTCTATCCAGGTGAAATCTAAGTTATCTTTTTTTTTTTTTTCCATTTAGCTATTTCTTCTTGCTTATACCAAAATGCCCGAAGAGACAGTATTTTTCCCCAGGACTAGGGATTAATAAACCCAGGGCCTTCACACTGAGCTACATCCCCAAGTCTGTCTTTCCCCCCAAGACAAGGTCTTGCTAAGTTGCCTATACTGGCCTTAAACTTCTGATCCTCCTGCCTTAGCCTCTAAAACAGCTAGGATTACAGGTGTGTGGCATCATACCTGGCTCAAGTACTTCCTTCTTTTTTTTAATTAAACCTCTTTGAAAGCATGCTGTGGGGCAGGTTTATTTCAAGAGTGTTACTAACTGAAACTTTAGGCCATCATACGTTAGATCAGACACGCTCATGTCTAGAGCCTTCAGGACAGTCATGTGAAAAACAACACATTTTTAAATATATATTAAGCATTTAACGTACTTTCTGAATTTTACCACTGTGGTACAGGGCCCAATATTCTCTTGCAGCAGTCTTTACTATAGACTGGATTATGTGAATTTCTTCTTTCGTTCTGTTAATAAGGACCACTACTGCCCTTTGACTTTACCAGTTTAAAACATAAGATCTCAGACATGGCCGGGGATTTAGCTCAGTGGTTCCAGTGCCTGCCTCCCAAGCACAAGGTCGATCCCCGAAATCAAAAAAAAAAAAAAAGATCTCAGACAAAATTACATTTAAAAACTTTTGGGGTGTTTTGGTCAAGTCTTTCAATGAAAGTTTGTATGAGTGAAAATCACCCATATTCACCCAAATGATGTCTCTTTGTTCAAATAAAACGCAAGTTAAACTTCTAAAATAACTTGCCGTAAGATAAAAATGAGTTTTACACCATTAGGAAGCAACCAGATCAAACTAAACTGCAGCACATTTTCAGAAACATGATCTGGTCTTTCCAAACAGATGCCAATGAGGAAGGGAAAGCAGTGATGGGAGAAGGCTTGTTACAGAATTAGAAGATCTTAAAAGAACATCAAAGCCACAGCCAAAGGCTCTGCACTGACCTTACTTGGACCCTAACTTGTTTAAATCAACTATGGAAAGAATTGTAGATATCAATCAGAGAGGCCTAAATATGAACAGGCATCAGAATTATTAACTTTTTGCTTTGATAGTGACACAATCTTTTAAAACAGGGTAGCACAATGAAATACGCACACATGAAATGTAGAAAAATTTAAGTTAAAAACAAATTTACCTTTCAAGATAAAACACATACACCTGTTTAATTATATTTGCATAGTATAAAAACAGACATTTTCCAGCTTAATCAGTAACCTCGTTTACTTTGTGCTTAGTGTTCGTTCACTCAATGAGCCTCACGTACCTTGCATGAGTTCCGAAGTTTTTGCCTTTCTTTTTTAATGGCTTTTTTCTGGATGTCTTTTTCCTTCTTTGCCAGTAACGCTTGCTGTCTCACTTCTTCTTCTTCTTTCTCCTTAGCCAACCGAGCAGCTTCTAATTCAGCTTGTCTTTGCTTTAAAAATGGGGAACAAAATCATTTTAATAAGAAAATTAGAATTTCTAAATGTTCTACAATCTTATTCAAAAATTAATCTTTTTTTATTTTTTAATTTTTTTTGGTACCGGGGATCAAACTCGGGTCCTTGCACTTATGCAGCAGGCAGCAAAACCACTCAGCTAAATCCCTGGCCCAAAAATTAATCTTTTAATAAATCAGAAAAAAGGTCACAGATCAACTTATTGAAGATTGAAGGCTGAACCGGAAAAGGGAGCTGATGAAGTTCTGCAAACATTTAAGGTACCAGAAAATGTAAAACAATCATAGAAGTAAGCATAGAAGCAAAGGAATTTCTGTCTTCATATTTTTGCTTAATACTTTGCTGGTAAGGACATCGAACAACCGTACCAACTTGTCAAGACTCACTCACAGCAGCAATGAACTCTGCTTCCAGATTATAGATTTTAAAAAACAGGTCTAAAGATTAAAGAACATGTGAAGTCCAACTTCATATATTACTTTTTCTTTAGCTTCTTGCTCTTTCCGTTTTGCTTCCGCTTTTGCTTTCTTTTCTGCTTCTTTCTTGGCTTTTTCCTCTTCCTTAAATTTTTTTATCCTTGGATCACAGCTATAAGCATTGTCTACCAAAAAAATACATTAATCTTTTGAATTTCTAACATTTAAAAACCTTTTTAAAATTTATTGCAAAAAACTGTAAAATCATTAATTATACTTACCAACTAATGTTCTTATTCTGTTCATTTCTTCCTTTTTCCTTTGTGCCCTTGTTGCCCTGTTCTGCTTTTCAATCCATCTTCTCTCATCACGACTATTAAACAGAGAATAGTGGAAACAGAACAACACTATAACGTGGTATGACTGAAAATGTTACTATTTTATAAATTACATGCAGATAAGGTCAGAGATGTGAAAATGCTATGTCACATTAACATTAAAGGGTGCTTCTATTATTTTGGTTAGTTTTTTTTGATATTTATGTCGTAAGAATTTCTCTACACACCCAGGGAAAACTAAAATACAACCAAGATTACTCATCCAAGAGAAGAATTTGCTGCACTGAGCTATTATGATGATCATATTCCTTGAAAATTCTTAAGCATAATGAGCCAGCCAGTTACTGATTTGGTCTCAGCTAGCTTAACTTTGTGAGAACAGATTTCAAAATACTGTACCAAAATACTTGAAGAAATATGAAAATATGTGATATGTTTTTATATTATCACAAATACCAAAGAACCAAATGTTTCTTTGTTAATGATTTGCTTACATACCATTCTGCTTTTTCTTTTTCTTCTTCATCTAAATAAGAAAATTCTCTCCAAGAATCAAAATTATACCTAATATAGACAGAAAATCAAGGCAGAACAAATGAAAAAACAATTCCTTTTAAAATTAAGTTAGATACACACAATGCTCAAGAACAGTAGTGGCAAGTAGATGAATCTGTCTGGATGGGTCCCTTCCCACCCTCTGGGCTACCACTGTGCTGAAGTCCTCAATGCTGTCTTCTTTCGTAAAAAGACACTGTATGTGGTAGACTGCCTAACGGGCAACTTGTAACACCCAGCTGAACTGAATCAGCATGGTCTGGGCATGCAGGATCCACCTGAAGATTGTTACCAATAGCCATGAAAAGAGAACTGGAGGGCAAGATCCTAGCCTGTTGATTTTCTAAGAGAAGCCTGCTGCAGATGGTTTTCCTGATGTGAACTAGGCAATTCTCGTCAGAGGAGGAGCTCGGGGCCTCGCTGTCGCTGGGAATGGCTGCTATTTTCATCAGGAGACCTCTGATCTTCACCGTGAGCATCATTTCCTGGCTCCAATGTGGATCCTTCAGTTTGGTAGCACAAATCATCTTACCAGCCTAGGTTTTCTGGCTTCCACCACTGGCCTTTGGGCCTTCCAGGTGCAGATCCTCAATACGGACAAGCACAAAACACTGCCGTGGGCTTTAGGCCACTGGCTGGACTTGAGGACCTTGCCTTGGACTCTTAAGCCTTTAGCTGGACTTGTGTGGGAAACTGTTGGGATCTAGGCCCTCAGCTGAATCCTTTGGGCTTCTAAGTGTGCAGCTAATCTCTTGCACTTCTTTGCATTTGGCTTTTTGGGTATTATAAAATAAGCTTAGAAATTATGTGTCCTGTATTTAATGTATTCCCTTGCCAAATCCTGCTGACTACAACACCATATTTGGTATAAAATCGTAAAACACCCACATCACCCCTCCCTGCTGGCCTTTCTTTCTTAGACTTCTCTCTTGCCTAGAACTTGTCAAAGTCATCGCTGTCTTCACTTTCACTGGCTGTCAAGTTGCAAGGTAATGCTAGTAATGGTTACTTTGTTCCAGTTTGCATTCTCTGAAAGTAAAAGCAATTGTAACTGATAGAACTTAATTTTTTTCCTACAGTAATTTTGTTTCCATAGCTACAAAAGGCACTGTATTACTCAAGTACTTTTAATTTTCACTGAATTTAAATGATTGCTCAATTTTCTTTTATAAACTGCTAACGTGCTTGGTATCCAATCTCATTAATAGAAAAGACAAAAAAAAAAAAAAACCCAGCCATAAAGCCTTAATAACACACCAAAGATATACAGCATTATGTGAAATCCTTCACTCATTTCTGAACAGAGTACTTATTTTTGTTCACTAAAGGTTCTGCAATTTACTCATCCTTCAATTAATTTATGAACAACCAAGTACTTGGTGACTACTTACCCTTTTAAAAAATGACAGCATCACAGAATACTCACTTACCAAAAAGAATAAAACGCATCTACATCTTCAAATGATGAATTCGTATCACCAAGTTTAGGGACATTTTTTTTATTTGACCATCTGAAATGTTAAAAAGGAAAATGTGACTAAAACTTTACATAGAAGTTTTTACTAATCCCTTCCAACCTCCGTCCTCAGTAACTTCTGCAACTCAAAGCCAGACAGGGAAGGTGAGGAGTGGCAGGAGTGACGTATTAAACAACACAGCTGTGATCGAAGTGAAGGCAAGGGGTCTGCGGGTAACGAGACAACTGAAATCTTTAACCACCAGGTTTTCTTTACTTCCATGAATAAAGAATGCAGCAGCTGCAAGGCGGGGTAGGACAAATGGCAAGTAGCCTCTCTTCCCAGGGCCACCACCCCTGCTCCTCAACAGGCAGCGCATCTGCAGTCTGCAGGCCTTGCCTGTTCAACAGTGTCCCTGACAGAGCCAGAAGATCCCCAACCCACACCACCGCCCTCTTCCTGCCTACAGCCAGACCCTAGGCTCCAGCCCAAACCTCACCTATGACCTCCATAGAGGACCCTGAAGCTGCTACCGACCCAGTTTTCTGCCCTATGAAATCACTACAAGCATGCACAACATACTGCGTCTTTATAAACATCTTCCCCACTGCTGTAAACAAACACGAGGGCAAAGGGCAGAGGAAATACTGAGTTGCACCAAGATGCTAACCAGCAAACCCAGCTGTGCAGGAGAATCACCTGGCAGCATTAGAAACCCCACAGGTATTCAGACTAACAAGTGAGAATCTGCAGGGAGGCCCAGGCATGTGTGTTTCCAGCTCTCCGGGGATCCCCGCGCACCGCGAGACACACGGTGAGGAAACAGCCGGTAGATGGATCCGGAAAGGAGACTGTAACAGCCAGACTGCACGCACTATTTTCAAACATACTTCAACAAAGCAAGTCACATATGCTTTAATCTGAAATATGAATCATTCTTTATCAGAGAAGTCTTGTAATAATTATGTCAAAAAAACCCTCAAAAGCTTTTCTCAGTTATAATGAGCCAAACTGTGTACCTACTGATAAAAGCACCACACAAAAGGGAACATTCTGCCACCCAAGGATTGGTATCACACTACATAAAGCCACACATTATTTTTCCCCCAAAGAAAAGTTGCAAGAAAAACATTCCATAAATTGTAAAGGAATTTCACTAAGGCAGAGCTTCTGTTTAGGGTGCAAAACAAAAACAGTGAGCTCACTAGAAGGCCTGGCTATCACAGGGAGGGGGACGAAGAGCCTGTGGCTACTAGAAGACTACACGAAGCAAGCTAACTGGGCATTGTGACCAACAGGGACTTAACTCACCTGGAATTCCTTTCAAACACTGGAGAAAACACTTCAAAGAAATTGTCCTTTGCTTCACTTTTAGATGGAACTGAATTATCAAAAGTAGGATCTATGCTGTTAAATGCTCGTCTTTTCACTGGATCAGATAGCATTTCATAAGCTGAGAACAAAAAGATTACAAACAGTAAGTTTACCTATTTTCTTCTATAAGAAGTCGATTTTGTGAGTTTTTGGTGTGGGGAATATTTAAGTTAGGTAACGACAGCTCTAGCATTACTAGATATATCTGGGCTTAACACCTGGTAGCAAGCGACAAAGTAATTTTTAAATAACAATTACAGAAGAAAGCAGAAGATGCTGAGGAAAAAACTGCCAGACAACTGGTGATTCCCAGGTTCTAAAAGGTGGAAGACTCTTAGGCTCCTTGAGCACTGTGTAAGAGTGGGCCAGGCAAAAGTCTGAAAAATGTGTATACGTGTAATTGTTTAAAAAGCAGTGTTAGGGTTGGGGATTTAGCTCAGTGGCACCATGTCTGCTTGATAAGCACAAGGTCCTGAGATCGATCTCTGGCACCAGAAGAAAAGAAAGAAAAGTAGCATTAAAGAGCTGGGAATGTGGCCTGGTGCTGGACTGCCTGCCTAGAGACTGTTAAGGCCCTGATTCCACTGTCACAACCACCACAAGAAAAAGAAAAAAAGCATCAAAACGTAAAACGTAAAACCACATTTAAGAAATGTTTAGATAGGGCAGTCGCATATTAATCTGCTTGATGAGGGTATGACTATATAGGTAGCAGTGAACAGTTGTGGGGTGTGCACGACGACACAAGTTTTACAGCGGTGCCAGAGACTGCACTCAGGGGTAACGTGGTAGGCAAGAGCTCTACTACTGAGCTGCGCTTCTATCCCCAATCAACTTAGACTAGCAAAACGCCCAGGAAATAGGTCAGGCCTGGAATACTGCCTCACCTAAGGAAAAGGGATCTAAAATAAACAACTTTCCATATATTTAATATACCGCAAAGGGCACTGGTAGAATTTTTGAAATGGCAAAAGATCACTAAATATAATACTTCAATGAATTAACAGGGCAGTGGTGGTGAACCTATGGCACTCGTGCCACAGTGGTGGGCTGTTTGTATCACCAAAAGCTCTAAAAGGTTCTCCAGCACTGTACTTGGGCTTGCTAAAATGCAGGCGCTAACTAGTAGGTCTGGAGCCAGACTTGAGATTCTAACAATCCCAAGGTGGCCATTTCAATGCTGGCAGGTGGAGCCTCACTTTGTACAGTGAAACTGTGGGGAATTAATACAAATAACCTACATGACTAATCGATATCATGGAATGTGTTTTCTGTTACATGAGAAAACCAAAATAAATAAATGAATAAAAGGAGATGACAGGAAACCAGAAGGCAGACTTTTGGAGGTGAGGCAGGGGAGTAAGGGAAGAAAGGAGAAGAGGGAGAGGAGGATAAAAGGATTAAAAATGATCAAGTTACATGTATATACCAATTTCCCTACATGAACTTCATTATTCTGTATTACTAACAGGCTAATAACAATAAATGTCACAGGTAAGTTAAGTGAAGCATATCATAGATAGGAAACCCAATCCCAGTAATCAATCAATAAAAATCACTGCTGTATTAAAAGTTCCTGACTGGAAAGTACTTCTTACCTTTAGTTATGCAGGTGAAATAATCATTGTCCCCTTCTTTTATTGGTTCACCAGCTGCTTTCCGTTTGTCTGGGTGATGTTTTAAAACCATCGCTTTGTCTACAAAATGAGTCTGATTGGTCACTTTAGGCATCAAAACTGAAACTAAGCATGAGCTAAATACAAACTAAAATCATAAAGCTAATTTTAAATTTTTCTCTCAGTAAAATATGTGCTTATTAAATGTGAAAATTACAGAGCAACTGAAGTAATTATTAGGCAAAGTGCCAGCACCCAAAGACAAATACCCACGTGCTTTAATAATTCAGGTGTGCTGGGGACGTAGCTCAGTGTTAGAATACTTGCCTGGAGGGCCTGAGGTCCAGGTTTCCATCCTCAGCAGTTACTTAGACACACACACACACACACACACACACACGCACACGCACACGCACACGCACACGCACACGCATGCACACACAAGCACAGGCACAGTGCAATCATGTATATATACATGTAGGTTCTGCTTTTTCAACCTGTCATTTGCCATTTTCCTTTTTTTCTTGCAAACTTCAAAACTTTCTTTTCAATGACTTTAGTATTGTGTTTCAAGTAAATTTATTCTAATTTAAGCATTTCTCTGTTGGATATTTACTTTGCTTCCAAGTTTTCACAATTATAAATAAAATCAACTTGAATAATTCTGAACAGAATATCCCCCATATTTAGGATTCTTAGGACAAATTCACAAAAGTGAAATTAGTGTATAAAAATGTAGGAATAATTTCTACCCCACAAGTCACCCCTTCATTCCCTAATGTGAACTTCCCATTCACCACAGGTTTACTAGCACTGAGGCTAACTCTAGATTTGTGATCACCAGTACTTTGCAATGTTTTGTTTCATTCATCCTTTATCTGCCTTTTTGGTGTGTGTCACTTTACCATATAACAATGGCTCCTTATTAGTACTTAGCATTCAGCATGGTACTCAGGCCCATTATCCCATAACCCTATGAGGAGATGAGGCAGAGTGAAGCTAAGCAAGCACAAGCCCTGCATCCTGCTCAAAGTCCAGGCCCAGGTGACTCCGAGCCATCTGACTCCCCGGCCTGTTTGCTTGCTGCCTCTCCTAGCTGCAGTTTCCTGTCGTTCATGCTTAATCTAAGTACTGTGTCCATACCCAGGGCTCACTTCCTTTATAGTTTCTGTTAGTACTTATAATACTTGTAGTTTCACTAATATTTACCACAGCTAAAAATCATTGTAATATTTTTTGGAACCTAAATGTAGTCGAGAAAGTACTTAAACTTGTCATTTTCCGAAATCTTAGTACGATAACCCTTCCCATCTGCACTGATTTGTCATGTCTCCTTTTCACACTAAATTTTGCAAGGACTTGTTTTGGTTACTTATTCTTGACTAAGAATGATCTTTAAAATGACTACATTTCTATATATTTGAGGTAACTTTCAAAACCTAGTATCTGTACATTTTTCTTGCACATAACCACTTTTGATTCCCACATTACCTATAAATAATATATTTCTTTCCATCTTCCTAATAACTCACTGACTCAATTCCAGAGTAGCATAAAAAATAATATGCAGGTTGTCAGGTGTGGTGGTGTGCACCTCTAATCCCAGCACTTGGGAGGCTGAGGCAGGAGGATCGCTGCAAGTTCAAGGCCAGCCTGGGCTACACAGTGAGTTCAAGGCCAGCCTGAACTATATAGTGAAACCCTGTCTCAAAAACCAAAAAATAAAAAAAAAATGAAAGGGCCAGGTTAATTTCCCCCATGGATTTTAACAGAAATAGCATTTTTGGTATACAGCTAAAACTTTGTTGCTTGGGGGCCTTAAATATTTATCAAAGGGAATTTTTTTTCAAAATTTTAATAAAAAAGGAATATTATATTCTATGGACTTTCACTCTCTTAGAAGATTAGATTAGCTATATTAATATATTTCCCAGGTCGTATTCCTGAAACTCTACCTGTTCCTAACACCAATCTTTTAATGCACTATTAAACTCAACTTGTATTTCACTGAGGTTTTTTTTTCCACTGCACTCATGAATCAGTGTGTTTTCTGAGACAGGATCTTGCTGGCCTTGAACTTAGGGCAGTCTTCCTGCCTCAGCCTCCCAAGTGCTGGGGTTACAGCATGCGTCACCACACCCAGCATGAATCATATTTAGTTGCAATTTTTTTGAGCGCTCTTTGTTGGGTTTTCATACTTGGATTATATTAATTTTGCAAAGTGAGTTGTTCCAAACCAGCTTATGTTCAGCATGAGCATTTACAATTCATTTAACAACTGAAATAATTCACCAGAAAATATACCTGGGCCTAAAAATGGTTTTTGATGATTCTATAGTAACTTTAAAATTTTCTTCTTCAATTAAAAAGTCAACTTTACTGAAATGTTTAAATTCACCACATATAACAGGAGTCTCAATAAAAAGTATCTTCTGCTGTTATCCTGGTATACCTTGCCATCCCAGCTATCCGGGAGGCTAGCTCATGAGGGTCAAACATTCAAGCCTGCATGGGCAACCTGGCCAGGCCCTGTCTGAAAATGAAATAAAAATTTTAAAAAGGCCCCCAAGAGTGTATCTCAGCACTGGAGCACTTGTTTCCAATGTGCAAGGCCCTAGATTCAATCCCCAGTACCTATGGGGAAAAAGTATCTACTGCAATGGTTTTTATCCTGTCTATGTGTATTTCATCGTTTGTTTTTTATTCTTATAAGCCTTTTTGGCATTTTAAAAATCTATTTTCTTCCTCCATCTTCAAGTTTTGTTTATGTGTGTGTTTCTGTGTGGTACCGGGGACTGAACCCTGGGCCTTCGCATTGAACTTTATCTCCAGCCTTTTCAGTTTTTTTAACTTGCAATCCTGTTGCTTCAGCCTCACAGAGTGGTGAGATTACAACTGTGAACCATGATGCCCAGCCCCTTTAAATTCTGATAGACAATGATCCTGCTTTTGTAAAATGAATCTATTAATACAACTTTCATTTCTAGCTAGGCCCAGAAGGGTATATCTAGTATCCCACGTGATTCTTTTGTTTGTTAAATCACATCTATTTCATTTAATTGAGATAAAACTTTTAAGGATAAAATGTTTAGATTTTAAGTACTCAGTTTAACAAACTGACAATTAAATATACCCATATAACTACTAGAACATCCAAAAGAAAATTCTGGCTATTTCCACCTCCACAGTTCCCTCATACTCTTTTCCCATCCCCTACCAATGGGGCAAGCACATTCTGATTTACCACAGACTACTTCTGAACTCCATACAAGTAAAACCTATAGTTTCTTTGTGTGTGACTTCTTTCAACATCGTGTTCTGAGAGTCATCCACGTTCTTGCGTATACTTGCAATTTGTTCTTTTTTATTGCTGAGATTCCACTTAACCAAAAACACAGTTTGCGTATCCACTTTTCTGTCAGTGAACATCTGAGTGGCTTCCCACTGAAGGACATTTTGGGCAAGGCTGCTGTGGACCACTTTGTGTAAATCTTCTATACTACATGGAGATATTTCCCCAAATCCTGCCCTTGCAGGCACTGTGGCAAGTAGGTCTGTTTTCCTCAAGTCCAGGATTTTACTTGTTAGGTCCAGGAGCCACTGCCCTGCTAAAACTAGAAAAGATGCATTTTTGAATTCTAACTGGGTGAAGCAGTAAGCAGTTCATTAAAGGTCATCAGAGAGCTCACAGAATCTGAGAACCAACTGTCAGGCATGGAAGCTCAAGAATCAGATTATGCCGGGCAGCTCAGCGCCCAACCCTGCAGACACTGAGCACAGGGCTTGGCTGCTGCCCTGCTACCTGGGAACGCTCTGCATTTGTCTTCAAGGTGCTCTCCTCAGAACTCCAGGGTGCTGACTAGTGAACCCTAAGCCACATGCCTGTGTGCATTCTCCATCTCAAGACAAAAAGAATTTTAAAAATCAGGTTAGTTTTCTTCTTTGAGATTGTTTCTATTGCACTGATTCTGATTTCTTCCGGGGAAATGTAGCGTCTTTTTCTTTCCATCGGAACCTTGGGGAACATATCTCACGGTTGGTTGGCCCCTACTTTTTTCTAGCCAAGTGCTCTTGTGTTTTCTAACTGTGTATCAGCCTGTATGATTTTAAATTCTGCTCTCGTGTTTAGTTTTCATACATCCTCTGCTTATTTCTCCTAAATGCCTATCTCATCCTACTGGTGTCTTCATATCTAATTTGAAAGCAAGTAAGTTGCCATTTGAAACTCAAGACAAAGTCTGAGAGAGGTGCATCTCAACTGAGAGGAGGCTCAACTTTTAGTGTGTCCTCTTGGAATGCACTATTTTTCCTACACTGCTTTGTCTGCCTAATCATCTTTTGTCACTTTATGTATATGTGGGGGTGGTCACACTGTCCTACTTACATACTGCTCCTAGAGTCGGGGGAACATAAGATTTTACCCAATTTTTAAAAATAGGGCCAAGAGGGCCAAAGTCATTGTCATTATGAAAAAGTAACGAGATAATTTGGGCACAGCTGTTGTAAGTTTACTGATATTTTACACCCCCCCCCTCAAAGTTTCTTGGGGGTTTGTTTACTCACCATACTGTGGATTGAACCCAAGGATCTTTTCACTGTGCTACGTCCCCGGCCCTTTTTTATTTTGAGACAGGGTCTTGCTAAGTTGTTAAGACTTAGGTGTTTTCAGAGTACACCAGAAAGGGGATTTTTATTGTACACTCACATTGCTATTACTACAAAATCTTTAAACATGATTTTTAAATTTTAGAAGCTTGGTATCAAAGCTTTTTATTTAAAATGTCACAAGGGGCCGGGGATTTAGCTCAGTGGTTCTGCCACCTGTCTCGAAAGCACAAGGTCCTGAGTTTGTTCCCCAGTACCAAAAAAAGAAAAAAAAAAAATCACAATTTAAGCTAAAATTAAATCTTGAAAATTCAAATTAGACCTTTTTCATGCAAAATATCAAACCAATAGGCATCATATGCCAGTGTACTTGAAGAACAAATTAAAATAATTTAAATACCACCTTAATACAAATACTTTCTTTTAACCCACAATTCAACTTATCTAGTAATTTATTCTTTTAATGTAATAAAAAAAGAAAAACTGAACACTTACTTTATTCAACTTTAAATGACTTCCTAATTTTTCTTATAGCGATTCAAACTATATTAACAAAAATAAAATTGTTCCTGTGTAACAGGATGTAAAAACTCAGGGGATCTCACATAACTTTGAGCAGGCTCAAACTTGTGTTTTTATGTTTGTGCAAATGATTATAGATTTGCACACACGAACTGTGCCCTTCACTTGGACAAGACTTTCGGAAAGAAGTAATAACTGTTTTAGTCAGATGAGAATGACAATCTCCTTCTGAATAAACTGTGATAAAATAAAGAGTTCCAGTTCTTTCAGCTAACAATCTCTGAACAAGTGCTGCAAAACTGTGCCACAGAATATTGAAAAATTAGGGCTAGGGATGTAGCTCAGAGGCACAGTGCCTGCCTGGTAGCCGTGAGGTCTTGAGTTCAATCTCCAGTACCAAAAAATAAAAAAATAAAAATTCTGCTACGTCTAATAGAGTAGACTTAACAGGAGTAAATGCTGTTTCTTCTTTTTTTTTGGTTTTTTGAGACAGGGTCTCACTATTTAGTTCAGGCTTGGCAGTGGCCTTGAACTCATGGCTATCCTCCTGCCTCAGCCTCCTGCATGCTGGGATTACAGGCGTGTGCCACCACGTCCAGCTAATGGATGCTTCTTTTACAAGTTATGGTTCATTTTTATTCTTTAGAGAAAAAACCAATTCCTTCATTTTAAAATACCAATGATTTTCATAGTTCTATATAACTTAAAATTTTCTCACAAATTTATATGCATCATGATGTATTTATTCAGCAAAATATTCATTTAATGAGCAAGTTGCAGGTCCTAGGTCATTAAATGAGGAACTGTATATAGATAGCATGTATACTGTGATACAACAAAGAAATGGTCAAAGGAGACTTGAACTTGATCACTTTGCTATTATTTGCACAACTCTGACTTGCAGTGCTGTGATGATCATAGAACATAAAACTGTAGCACTGTACTGTATATTGCAATCAGTTTTTACTGTATAATCACAGTACTGTATAAGCAAGGTGTACTGCACAAAAAAAGACTTTGAGGCTCAATAAACAAGATGTATAGAACTGTATCAAAAAAAAAAGATGGGGTTGTAAGTTCAAACAGTCATTAAATAGGTAGTCATTAATGGAGGAAGGTCTGTATTTGAATGCTATTCTTATACTAAGACTCTGCAAATAGTTTTCCTTGGACAATGAAGTTTTTCTGACATCTAAGTGTACTACATGACAGTTCATAAGCATTAACGTATGCTTTGTCTAAAATCATGCTGGCCTTTTAAAAAGCAGGTACAGGTCTAAAATAATCTGACAAATCCCCTCACTTTGTCAAAAACTATTTCTGGTGACTTTCCTAAATGTCAGCACGACGGGGAAGGATGAGCCCATCTACTACCCCAGCCTGCAGCAGTATTTCTCCACAGCAGCTCTCTGGTAGCTGTGCTCACGGAGCAGCACACCTCCTCCTCCTGACTGGCCCTGAGTCCCGAGTCCTTTCCACATGGCTGCTCTCTCACCTCCTCTGACCTCAACACCCATTCTCCACAGCAGAGGGCAGGCGGTCTCCAGGATAAACAGAAAACCGATCACCTTCACCTCCTCCTTGAAACTTCACTAATCAGGTGAATGAATGTGTAACACATTCCTGCCGGCTTGAACCACTTGGTACAAATGGATCTAATCACTTGTCTCAGTCTTTTTACTGATAAAATTAATTAAATCTATAAATGAGCCAAACCTAGTTAATTGCTTGAATTTGAATAATTACTACTCAGATATAAATACGGTATATATAACAGGCATTCACGATGGCTGTACCACAAATTAGGTTACAGTTTTTTATACCATTTTAGGGTTTTCCTTATGAAGCTGCAGTATGACGACATCCGGTCTGCTAAGTCAATGCTTTCCTGTGCATTACTCCGATCAAAGACAGGATCAGGTTTTACGCTTCCCACGGCTCACGCCTCCAGTGGGACAGTCACGCATGTGCCACTGGTGGTTCAAATTGGCAGGATGACCAAGTTCAAATCAGAGCCGCTGGCAGTGAGACATGAGTTAGGGCTCTGTCATGAACATGATGAGAATTATGTCCACGTTAAGGAACATGCGAAGGAATGCAAAGGCCAGGGGGCTTGGGAACATTAAAGCAAGGTGTTTTACAAAGCATATGAAGACTTGGTTCCCAAAATGTTCTTCCTCCAATTTTTAACTCTGTCATTCAAAATAACAATAACTCTTTCTTGGGCAACAGAAAGGATGGTATCAGCAAAGGCAAAACCTGAAATCACAAAATAACACCAAAAAACCGAAGTAACAAAGTGAGATTCCACTAAATATGGCTACCTATTTCTTTTAATAGCTTGCCACTGTGAGAATTTGTTTTGTTTTGTTTTTGCTTGCAGTACTGGGGACTAAGCCCAGATCCTTCATTCTAAGCTACATCCCTACCCTTTTATTTTTATTTTGAGACCGGGCCTCACGAAATCGCTAAGTTGCTCAGCCTGGGCTTAAACTTGTGATCCTCCCTGCCTCAGCCTCCCAGAGTGGTGGCTTGACAGAATGTTCTTTATCTTCTCTCTCATTCTCATACATACATACACACAAACACACACACACACACGCACGCGTGCACAAACATTTATCCCTAATGAGAGTGAGACAGTCTATACAAAGTCTTATTTTTTTCTAGTTCAGGAGACTGGTTTTACGCTTATGACAATATAACACTTGCAGTTAAATGTAGGGTTACATCTACATATTATGACCCTGTGACCCTTTCCAAAAGAATAGCACTTCCTATGCCAAATATTTATTTCCAAGTAAGTACTTACGAGCTGCTTTGATCTGTCTCTGTGTAGCTTTGTACCTTACATGGCCAAGTCCAAGAACTGCGTAATGATCTTGGTTCTGATAAAGATACAAAAGGGAGTCGAGTTGGAATTGGACTTATATACCCTGCCCCTTATGTTCCGTATCCTACAACAATGTTTTCCAAAGTGACACTTCCACGTTAGAAACCAGGGACAGGTTCTACACAGAAAGGGCTCTGTGGACATAGAAGTGTGGGAAATGTGAATAGCCTTCTCTTGTTTTGTTTTGGTACTGGGGACCAAACTCAGGTCCTTGTGCTTGCAGGGCAGGTGGCAGAACCACTGAGCTAAATCCCTGGCTCTTTTGTACCGGGAGTCAAACTTAGGACCTTGCACTTGCAAGGCAGGCGGTTGAACCACTGACTAAATCCCTGGCACTTTGGCTTGTGTTTTGAGACAAGGTCTTCCTACGTAGTACAGGTTGGCCCTGAGTGTGCAACCAGCACTGACTCTCTACAGCCTTCTTAACAATTTGTATGCACACAACCTAAAAGGCTCTAAGAAATCTGTAATTACAAAAAAACAAAACAAAACAAAACAAACCCAAGTTAACAGAATCTATAAAACCCAGCATTTCCTAAGCCTACCTGACTAAAGAACCCCTTTGTCCTATAGAACCTATTACTATCCCATACCTATCCTTAAATCAAGGGACATCCAGGTACATTTCTGAACCGAGAGGACCATTACATTAGGTCTTGGGGCTGAGCCAGTGGACAGTGAGGAGCCATGCAGAACAGAGAGGGCAGGTTGGGTGGAAGTTCTGAGAAACTGAGGGATAAGGCTCCTCGGGTACAAAGTAGCTGCTCTGGCCAACAGCCTAGCAACTAAGAAGCTGAGGCAGCATCTGGAACAAGAGCTCCTTAGATCAGATTGTGTGCTTTGTCTTGACAATGAGGGCAGCTACCAAGTACACAGGAAGTTGAGGGCCTAAGACCCGAGAGAAGAAAGCCCCACAGGGTGACAGTTTCCCTTTACTGCAGGGTTAGGCTTCGCATGGTGGGTTCCTTCACTGTGCCTGGCAATCACAGTGCACTCCAGTTCGTCCACCTTCCGCTCCCTGAGCTGCTTCATCCCTCAACCCCTTCTCCACCTGCTGCCGGCCCCGCCCTTGTTCAGCTAAAAACTATAGCTATCTCAAACACATCAACCTTGAGGCATCACATGTAGCATTTTATGTCAATTATACCCAAAAATACTGTTCAATTACCCTACCGGAAAGCCAGACTCTTTCCCCCAGCCCACCTGCACCGTACACCTTCCTATCTTCCTGACTGAGATAGCCTTTCCTGAGACAAATTACTCCACCCTTCCTCCACATCCTGAAATCCAGCTTCTCCTCAATTTCAACTGGGTTATCTTCCCCAGGTACAGATGCTGTTGTCTCCCATCCCAGCCGCCCTTCCAGTCAGCGCCCACAGCTCTGCCGTCACAGCTCAGCTTCCGGAGAAAGGCGCCCACACCATTTCCTTGTTGCCTCTTGCATTCGTTCTCAACCCACTTTAATCAGGTTCTGCATCCCACCGCATGGCCAATAAGGCTGCTTTCTTCCTATCAGTTTCCACCCTCACTTGACTTCACCCTCCAGCAGCAACCCAGCAGCCTCTGTCCCTGGAGCGTTCATGCTCCCCTGCTGGCCTCCACCTCCTGGGGCCATTCTCAGTCACCTCTAATGGCTTCCCGACGTCCGTCAGAGTGAGCCTTGGGCTTTCTTCTCCCACAGTACACTGAGACCCTAGGGCACTTCGCTCAGCGAGACTGTACCTGCTGCCCATACCCCTCGCAGACCTCTCCTCTGAGCACCCTCCGCCTCGGTCACACATCCCAAGTAAGAGGGGGTCCCTGGTCACTCCCTGCCTGGCATTCTCCCCCACTCTTTTTTTTTTTGGTACCCTGGTTCGAACTCGGATCCAACGCTTTCAAGGCAGGCGTTGGAACCACCGAGCTAAATCCCTGGCCCTCCCCCACTCTTGACGTGCTGCTGCATGCACCGTTTCATTCATCCTCACTGTAATCCTGAGCTGTGAACAATCTCACTGAACCAACATGGGAAATAAACGCTTAGATGCCCAGTAACTTTCCCAAGGTCCCAGTGCACTGAACAGTCACACTAGATTTGAACCCAGGCATTCTAAGTCCATGGCATACACAGGTAATGCCTGTTGGTCTACATTCTTTTCCATGGCTGGTGTCATTCAAGTTCTCCCAGCTTCAACATCACCCATGTGCCAACAACATCAAGTGACCCTGGCTCTAATCTTTTTATGGAGCCACAGAGCAATTTCTAACCATCTTCTAGACAACTTTGTTAGTAGAACTTCAACTCTGACACAGCCAAACTTGGACACATCACTCTGTGCAAGTTCCTTATCCTGTGTCCCAGGGCTGGTCACTGATATCACAATCCAGGTCACTCAGGCCAGCCTTCTGAATTCCTCTTCTCTCGGGCCACACAGCCAAGGTCACCGAGCCCTGTCAATTCTACCAAAACAAACAAACAAACCTCTTCCTCAAAACCCAGCCACAATTCAGTTCAAGTCTTCACCTCTAGGCTGGGTAAGTGGCACTCCATCACACTTATTTCGCTGAAGTGCTGTTCTACATGGCTTGTTAATGGAGAAACCCATGGACTGTTGCCTATGTTGACATCCCTTCGCTGAGCAAGATTCAGACATTACATACCTTCCAGTCTTTAGGGTCAAGCGTTTTCAGCATGGGAAATTCTTCTAACTGCAATTCTTCATCTTCTGATTCCTCCGATAACTCTTTCTTATCCTCCAGCTCCTGGAAAGAGGCAGAAGCATTTCTGTTTCTCCTCTTAACAAAAGCTTCAAACCATCTTCCCACAGGTTCAACTCGACAAAGTGCAGAAGCTGTGATTGAAAGTGATGAGAGGTTTCAATGCACTGGATGGAACAGACCTGTTTCAAGGCAACAATCTTTCTAAGGACCTAAGCTCAAAATAGTGATACCTTCAGAAAGTAATTTTCAAACATCAACTACAAAAATAATTATAGTTATCCAGTTTATTTGAGTGTCAACCAAAAATCAGCATTTCTTAGTACTTACAGTGTATTCCATCACCCTCTCCCAGTGAGCTGACAAAACACTCAGCAACTTGTCAACAATGAACCAATACTTTTCTGGGGGATGAAAGGAATGGGATGAACAGAGGAAGCACTGCAAACTGCTCTACTTTTGAGCAATGATAGTAATGAGGCAATAAATGATACAATGCCACCAAAAGTGAGCCTCAAAAAACAAAAATCTTCTAAAAATAATTTAAAGTATCTTAATTTCTTTTTTGGTACCAGGAATCGAACTCAGGTCCTTGCGCTTGCACAGCAGGCGACGAAACCACTGAGCTAAATCCCCGGCCCTAAGGTATCTTAATTATTGAAATCTTGAAATAGTTACTCATTTTTTTTTTTTGGTACCAGGAATTGAACTCTGGTCCTTGCGCTTTGGAGGCAGGCGGCAAAACCACTGAGCTAAATCCCCAGCCCCCAGTTCCTCATAATTTTAAGGATTCACTACCAATGATTTTTGTTTCTGAAAGACAATTTTCGAAGCAGCTATCGGGGATCTACTAATTGGAGTTGCAATGTACTGTATCTTGAAGTGACTCAGAGATAGTCTCGACTGTAAAACAGGAACAATACTTATCTCACTCAGTTCCTAGGAAGACTGAATGAGAAAGCATAAAGCACTTTGAAAATTACAAACCGTTGTAGAAAAGTAAGGTATTATGTATTACCAGGAAGTTGGAGTAAATCACTGGTTATGAGTAAATTAGCAATTCAAGCAATTTTCTGACCCATAATTTCGGTCAGAAAAAAACAAATTAACTTTTAATTTCAATATTCCATAAAAAAGTAAAGTTCTGGGGTTTTTTTTTAGCCCAGTAATGAATAACTCATTATTTTTCCTCGTATTTGATGACCACCATTTTCTAAAAACTGACAAATTTTACGTTTCAATTGGTTTGGGAGATTTAAGAGTTCTCCAGTTCGGAAAGGATTCAAACAGTTTGAAAAAATACCACCTGTGCAGTGGGGGGGTGCGGCTGTTAGACTGCCCTTGGAGCCTTCCCCTCCGGACTGTAACAGCACACAGACAAACAAACGCAACACGTGTACGGGGCGAATTCAAAATCCCAGAAAAGCGCTTAAGGAAGTGGCTGTGGCTGGGGACGACTGTCTCTGGAACCGGAAACTCGCGTTTACGAGGCTGTGCAGGGCTACAAATCTGAGAGCCGCCGGCCGGAGGGGACGTTTCACGTGGACTGACCGTCCGGAGAGTGCACCCCGCGCGTCCCGGCAGAGCAGGCGAAGGTCTTTTACACTAAGCACAGGGCAGAGTCTGAGTCCCGACCCTCGGAGCAAAGCACGGCCGCGGCGACGCACGCGGAGAGCAGTGCGCGGGGCTTTGTATGGCCTGGCACGTGGGCGCTCGCAGCGGGCAGCCTCCGCCGCGGGCAGGAGGAGTTCACGGAGCCTTTCTGGGCCACGGGAGGGTTCGGATCTCAGCTCGACCCGTGAGTCAGCAGCCCCGAGGAAGGAAGCAAGCGTGGGGGGCAGCGGCAAGCCGCCCCCCGACCTCCTTCCTCGCTTGCAAGCCGGGGCCGGGGGCACAGGGGCCGTGAAGCTCGTCGCGGCTCACGGCCGGGAGCGCCCGGGGCGAGGTCGCCGGCTGAGGGGCAGCGGGGCGGGAGACGGGGTCGGCGCGTACCCGAGGTCAGCGCGCGGGCGACGGCGGTGCCCTGGCCGTCCGCGGCGCTCGGCAGTAGCAGCATGTCGGCGCTCCGCCTCGTCCGGCGGGCGCAGCGGCTCACGTTCCGCGGAGGGCCCTCGGCGTCCGCGCCAGCTCTACCTTCCGCTCTGAGCCTCGCGCCTAGGAGCTCCGACGCCCAGGAACCGGCGCATGGAGACGACTAGTAAGCACTTCCGGGATGGGGCTTTCGTGGTGCGGCCGCCAATCTCAGCCCCACCGCCCGCGCCAACGTGTGCGGCAGCCGGGTTCCGCTAAGGACTCCGACCCGGCTGGAGACAAGGGTGTACGGAAGAACGGTTCCTAGAGTAGTCGCTTCCCTTGGGAAGAGAGTTATTGTCCAGTTTCTCTCTCTTCCAAATGCAATTACGCAGAAGAGCTTTTAAAAGCAGCTCAAAAATAAAATAAGCTCGCGTGCGCGAAGATCTGGGTTAATCCCCAGCACAATCAGTGAAATCAGCTTTCATATTTTAAAATTCCTATTTACGTAGTAGTCTCAACCTAACCACTTACTTTTCCAGCAGATGTATTTGTGTACATAAAAAATGAAGAGTCGCGAAGGAACTATCGATGATACAATCTTTCAATATATACATGTGTATATATACATCCCTAATTATGGATGTAGTCCTGTGATGCTTGTGGGTTTACCTGAACAACAAAAGGAGCGGCTAACATACTAGTGCTAATTTATCTGCATTATCTCTTCTAATACTCATTTGGAGAATACTCTCTAGTGTTAGGCTGTTCCAATGGCAGCAATATTTTTACCCTGCTCTAAGAGAATTAAGGGGTTTTTTCCCCCTCTCAAGATATTTCCAATTACAGGACTCTGGCGTTTGGTTACTGTATAGTAAAGTCAATTGTATTGCTACCATTAGCTTCCTTCTACGGTGGAACTGAGGTCAAAAGCAAAAACTAGCAAAAAAAAACCAGTGCATGAAAGTTCACCCCTAATAGTGTCTTGAACAGGTTGGGTAAAATGGACTTGAGGTGCCACTCTTCAGCAAGGGGCACCCACAATTAGCAAATAATTTTGTAGGAATTGCATTTTCACTGTTACATAACTTGAATTCATTCTTATATCTGCACAACCAAACTCTCATTTCAGAATTGACATAATAAAAACTGATTATCTTCTCCAAAACTTGTCCTTGGTCCCTCTATTAATGCAGCCACTGTTAAAATATACCCTAAAGTGCAGTCCTGAACTCATTGTTTTTGGTTTTGTTTTGTTTTTGAGATAAAATAAACTGGCTTCAATCTTGCTCTGTAGCCCAGGCTGGCCTCGAACTCCTCATCCTCCTGCCTCAGCTTCCTTAGTGCTGAGATCACAGGTGTGCGCCACACCTGGCTTGTGCTGTTTTAATATTCTTTCCTGACACCTCCTCCCATCCATTCTTACCTTCACCTTTGAGATAAGTTTTTTAAATTGTAAAATACACATGAAATTTACCATTTTCATAATTTTAAGTGTACACCTCAATAGTGTTAAGTTTATTCGTATTGCTGTGCAGCTAATCTCCTGTACTTTTTTCATCTTGCAAAACATCCCTTGTCCCCCCTCTCCTAGCCACAGGCAACCACCCTCTTACAACTGTATGAATTTGACTCCTCCAGGTATCTCATCAGTGTGGAGTCATACCTTATTTGTCTTTCTGTGACTGGTTATTCACAAGGGTAATGTGTTCAATGTTCACCCATATTGTCGTATCATAATTTATTTTTTAAAAGGCTGAATAATACTTTGTTCTATCCATAAGTCACATGTTTCCTTTATCCATTATTCTGTAGATGGACATTTGGGTTACTTCCACCTTTGGTCCACTGTGAATAGTGTACCTATGGACCTTTGTGTACAAATTATCTCTGAGATCCTGCTTTCAATATCATAGAATATGTATGAGTATATATGAAATTGCTAGATCATATAGTAATTCTATTTTTATTTTATTTTTGAGGAACCACAATTTTCCACAGCTGTCACATCATTTTACATTCCTACTAATAGTGCACACATTCTATTTTTCTTTATCCACACTAGGTATTTTATCTCTTTTTCTTTTCAGATAGTAGCCATCCTAATGATATAAAGTAGTTTTGATTTGCATTTTCCTAACAACGTTGAACATCTTTTATGTGTTAATTGGCCGTTTGTGTATCTTTTTTGCCCCCAGTGTTTATGGATCGACATTTAAACGTGTTAGTACACGTCTGCAGCACATAATGACTGTATTCATCCTGCGGAGTTGGTACCTGAACACAATCTTGATTCTTTTTACCTCCCCTTCTCATTTGTATGTCTTCTTTGGAGAAATGTCTATTCAGGTTCTTTACCCACCTTTTTCTTTTATATCTTTGGGTTTTTTTTCCTTGCCCATCTCTAAAGTCATACTGTTTTGTTGCTGTTGCGTTATAGTTTTGTGTATATTCCGGATATTAACTCCTTAGGAGAGACGTGTTACCGTCACTCTATTTGTAGCTCTAGTCTCTGGGGCTTGTGCTAAAACACCTGGCATTTCACAAACTACCTTTCCAACCCTGTGCGGTGAAGGAGAAACTAAAATTCAAGAGATTATCCAAGTTATCCAAGATTGCACAGTAAATAAATGATTAAACCAGGATTTAAACTCATCGACTTAGCCAGGGCTGCTCTGAGAATTTACTAATCAGGTCTCTCCAGAGATCTGAGACCGTGAGAGTCCGGGTGGAGCAGTCTTTCCCCGGTGACAGGCGGAACCTTCGTACGCTGGACTTGGGAGCCTGCGCGTTCCCCGGAGCGCATCCGCCTCTCGGGCACAGTGGGAAGGGCCTAGCCGGGTTTTACTTCCGGTGGGGAAGGGAAAACAGAAGGCAACGTCGGAAGCGAGGAAGGTGCTGTGTAATCAAGGAGCCGAGGCGCTAGCATCTCCTAAAATGCCGGATTACCTCGGCGCTGATCAGCGGAAAACCAAAGAGGATGAGAAGGACGACAAGCCCATCCGAGGTCAGTTGGCACGGCCCGGGCGCGGAGCTGGGTTCTCGCCTGGCTCGGGCTCCGTCCTGTTCTGACCCCAGAGATTTCGCCCGGACGGCGTCCCGGGCCTGTCCGCTCTCTCTCCCTCATTCCGCTGCAGCCCTATGCTCTTCTCCTGCCGATCCAGTTCTTACGCTTTCGCAGCTGTCGGACTTGAAGTTAGGCACCTTGTCGGCCTCGCAGCCCCCAGAAGCTCCCCACCTGGCGCTGCTGCTTACCTGGGCCTCATCCGCGTCCCGGCGCTCAGCGTGACCGCTTGGTCCGGCACTGCAGAGCCAGACATCGGACAGAGCTGTCTTTAAAATTACATGTTTGACTAGATAGTACCTTCACAGGGTTCAGAACTCAAGATTAGAGAAAGTAACATCCGAAAAGCCTCCCGTCCTTGGTCCCAGCCTCCAGCTTCTCCGCACTGGCGGCTTCTGTTGCCATTTTCCGTCTCCCAAGACATTGCATATACAAGCAGGTCTGCATATATGCATTTTTACATAAACGTAGCCTGGTATACGTACCTCAATATCTTTTTAAATCTTAATTTATTTTGGAGATAATTTTATATCATTATGTAATCTGTCTCTCTTTGCATCTGCATAGTATCCAGTTTTATGGGTGCACAATAATATAGTATTAATCACTGATGGACATTTAGATTTCTCCAATCTGTCACCTTTATAAAGCACCTTGTTCGTATGACTTTTACCACATGGAGCGTGGGGTAAATTCTACAAGTGGAGTTGTATTTTTGACAGTGCCAAATTACTCTGCGTAGAGACTGTACCTGTTAATGTTTTTTCACTCACAGTGTGCCTGAGGTATACCCACTGCTTTTGGACATGATTTCTTCCTAGTAACACCTTCATGCCGTTTCCTCATTTGTTCCTTATAAGCTATTTTTAAATGTAGAGTGTTTTAAAAATATCTTTGCCTTTACTTTATCTTTCTTTTAATAACTTCAACCTCTCTTAGCACCAAACTTTCTTCACCACTTACACCCTCCCCTCTAAGAAGATGCCCTTTCTATCTTCAACCCACTCTTTTTTCTCAGAAAAATATTTTAGAACACTGAAAACCTCAGAAAAACACCCATTGCAGAGCTTTAGTCACAGAAATTTAGTATTTGATTTTAGTATTTGTCTGGGTATGCTATTGTGTAAAAATACTAATGTATTTCTTGGGCACAATTGTGATTACATAAACATTTTTGTGCTTCTTCATCTGTATCTCACTTAATCTTTACAGAAACACTGTGAAGGTAAAACTAGTAATATCTCAGTTTTTCAGATGATGAAACTTGCATTCAGAGATCAAATGGTTTTCCCACGTTTACCTGTAATGGGACGTACATGACCTTCTGAGGCTTAGCCCCCAGCCTGTTTCATCCCATTGTTGTTTTGGCCCCCTATTTTCTTTTTGTGGTATCATTTTGAGTGTCTTCAGTTATGTTAATGATCTTTGATCATCTCAATTCTGTTGATTTCCATCATTACTGCACCATAGCCACCTAAGGAATATATTTGTCTCTAATCACAGTGTCTCATACAGTGAATATTTCAGTAAATGGCAGCTGTTATTACTATTATGAACACTGTATCCATTGCGTCACTGCTTACTTCATGTTTAAACTCAGTTTAGTTGCAGTTTGGTTTCTGTGCCTGTTGAAACTGATTAGTGGTTTCTTAATTCCCAGATCTTTAGTATTTCCTCAATCCTGATCTTTGTGTTTTTGACATTAATGTTGCTCTCCCTTGGTTCTTTTATTTGAAACTTCCTTTAAGTGATTCTTGTCTACATTATGTTCTCACGTGGTTTCTGTAAAGGTTTCTTCATGATAATTTCATCCATTCTCATTTTGGACTCTGTTCTCAAATATGATTCCTTCATTAATCTTTTTTACTTAATATTGGCACCTG